GAACCACTCAGTGAATTGAAGGTGGGTAGATATGCCGATTCCTAATCCTCCAAAGTCCAGAAGTGGCAGTGCTAGATCACTGTACAGTATTAAAACATTTACACAGAACTCACTAAATGTGCATGCCAGATATTGCTTGTAGGAAGAGGCTTCAGCTGCCGTGGCTCTTTCGGACAGCAGGTTGTAGTTCACTCGAGAAATATCAACAGTGCCTGTACAAGATATACACATGTGCCTATCCAACTTTCTCATAAAATATAATCTAGCAGTCAGAACATTTTACAATTAGCTACTGTCCTAAATCTAAAGTAAATCTGTTAAACTATGAGCCCACCAACATATAGTATGACTAATTTGCAGTGTATTTGACTTACTGGTATTTAATACTTCTCTCAGACACGTTTTCCCCAACAATGCTTTCTTCTACCTTTCTCTCCAGAAGAGCCAACCATCATTGTTAAGTGATTATCTGGGGTCAGCGTCTATAATTATTCTGGCTCAAGATGACGCAATGATTTAAACTTAAAAAACGCCATATGAAAATACATTTGTTGGCCATAACAACAAATCTGATTTCATCTGTCATTTCTGCAATCCAGGGCTGAAAATTAAACCATATTTCCAACTGGTTACACCAAGATTTCTCGGATCCACTGCCTCTTCATAGCCCCAGGTGCTGGTCCAACTTCAGTTCTTGTCACCCCCTAAGTGAAGAAAAGATCCATAACGTTGGGCCACACATTACCTTTTATTTTTGTGTGTGCAAAGCTTTACTCAAAGAAAGGTGCAAAAACACTCAATCCTGCTCTTCCCCTCTGAGGCAATTCACTCACTGCTGGGGTCTAATTAGAGTCAGCAGTAGTGCAACATAGACCGTAATAAAAGATGAGCGTGCTTTTATCCCTTCCCCGTTGTATCCAAAACTACAAAAAACCGTTTTGGAGAACACTGGGCTTTAAATCCCCTTTTGTTGTGCTTTGTAATAAAGTTTCCATATGCGTTTTGAGTGAGCGACTACCAGAGACTATTGGGGCTGATTGAATAAAAAATATATACTGTAGGAGTATCATCTGAAATCTGCATTCCAACGCAAATTCTACTGCTGTGCTTTTCTGAGACAGACTTTGTGATACAGTGCCTTAGCAGACACTCCATTACAGCTCAAGGGCGGTTTTTTATGGTACAGTCTATTTTTTTATTTTTTATTATACACCTATTGCATAATGAGACATGGTATTAATGTATCCATGCAGATTTGTAAAGTTACTGATAATTTAATCAGATATTGCGAGATTTTCTGTTTCATATTCATATAAGCAGTATGGTCTGCACTATGCTGAAATGTAGACACAAAGTCTATTGTTTTCAGTTGAGTAAATTGACAGACATTAATTTTAGTACAAATTACAACACAGTCAAAATTTGCCTTGATCTTATTGCCTTTTTTTTTTTTTTACTTTGGAAAGGAAGTAATTGCCACCTGCTCCTACCGTGATCTCCCAACAAGTTACAAAATTGTCAAAATGTGGACAAAAACTGAGCAATCACAGATGTCACAAAAGTAACATTGGTCCAGTTTTGCTCCGATTCAGCAGGGGATCTGCTCATGGAGATTCCGCTGTATAGAGGGGAGCATGCTCATGTGGAAATGCCCTAAAGAAAAGCAGGCAAGCCTGCTAGCTGCTTTACTGGTAGAAGCAAAGCTACAATCAGGCACACTGACTTTAACAATTAGGTAATCCATATTTTTGCAGAGAACACAATATGAGCCAGAAGATTGAAGAATTATTGTTCCTACTTCTATGAGCATGCCATGTTTTAATCTCATTTGGAGCTTTTTTTTTAAGCCATAAGATGAAAAATTAAAGATAGAAAATTGTTTTTTTTGCTTGCAGGGAATACAATACAAAAAACAAACTGGTACAACTTTTCATATAGCAGATGTCCCTAAAAAATTCCAGATTATAACAAAGCATTGGCAAGATATCCTGTGAAAGGTGTGCAAAATATGTCTGTAAAAGTGTTCACTTTAAATTGGAACTACTGCCAACAGTTGTTTATCTTTAAATTTAAGTGGGAAATGTTCGAACCAGAGTCTAATTTTTTATTGCGGTCTTTGTCCCCATTAGGGAGACTGCAGAGACCCAACAGGAAGTTAAAAAGGTCCACCTCTGACAGTTGTCATTGGAACACGAGTTTTTAGGGGGTGTTTCTATTGTTGGTTTGGTAATAACTGTCAAATTTGAAACTTCCAAAGACTTTGTACCTTGCTCTAGGAAGAGTCTCCCAGAAGCTGATTACTGCAGGTTGAATGGATTTCTAAAAGCAAAGAATACAAATGGCTATTAATATTTGTTAGACATAACATCGTGAAATATTGATCCAGGGAGTTATTGGATTACCTTAAATTTACCATTTTTACCTTGGAACAAGTAAAAGTAAAATCCTTGTATAACATACCTGGAGAGAGCTGCTTTTCTGTTAACCTTCTTAAAACTAATAGTTAACTGACTATCACACTAATTCCTTGGGCTAATATTTTTCTAGATCAATGACCAACACCAGTCACACAGCAAAAGAAGTATGGGGAAACCAGAACTCCTTATCTGCATATTTAGTACAAGTCAGGGATTCAGTTATTGCTGCCGCTTCCTCAACATGACAGGCAACTAGTGTTTTAGAACAGAGTAGGCTTGAGGGCAAGGTCATACATGTAGAAAAGTATAGGATTTACTGCACTTTAGGTTTAATATGCTGTATTGGGTATTGGAGAATGCTCAGCCATAGTATTTTACTCTGAGTGGTACCTTGTAATGCTTGTGTGTTCTTGTTTTTGACCTACGTGACAATGCAAACAACAGTGTAATGGTTGCTGACCCTATGATGAAGTTGATTTGCATTCTGTTGTCAATTTCCTCAACATCTTCCAAATCAGCAAGACCACTAGTGGTTATTACCTACTAAGCTGGAGGGCTTTCCACATAAAGTTAGGTGCACAGCAATGGGGAAACAGGAAAAACACATATACACCAATATTTAAAGGACTTGGAACAGTTTTCTTTTTTCTCCCTAAACCTTTAAAGCTGAATTACAGGAATTCAGCCAGCCAATCTGTAAACTATGCCGGCATGCTATCCATTCAAGTCCAACAAGATGCATGGCACCTCCTGAACATATATCTTTACTTTACATCAGACAGTTTTGTGGAGCTCCCAGAGTACATCAATCACTACACTACCTGAGCTCTGACAGGAGAGATGCTGTCTTTTCACACAATGCATCTCTGCCCACCCTTCTACTCTGCTGCCCATTCACAGGAGCCTTTGTATTTTGTGAACGAGTTCACATAAAACAAAGTGCTCTGTGACTGGGCAGGAGTAAAGGAAGGACAGGCATATGGGCCACATGTGATTTTGCAACTGCAACAACAGAGACCAGAAGGACCAGTGTCGGAGTGCCGGAAGTACAGCAATAGATGAAAAATGTAAATTGTAAATTAAAACAATGAGTTCACAAGGTAGCATGCACCTTGCTGGACTTAACCCGTAGTATTCCAGAACATATTCTAAAGCGGCTAAATTCCTGGAGTTCAGCTTTAAGCTTCAGGAGCAATGTTAAATAAGCATTAGTATAGATTACTTGTTTCTGAATAGAAAATCCCTGGATGCCTCTCCTCTGTTTGATAGCCTCATCTCAGCATAGGAATGAACACTGACCTCACTAATATTGTCACTCAAGCATGGGAAACAGCAATCAACCCTTAACCTGTTGCTGTCCATGTAATGCATATATGTGGTGTCAAAGAGGGAGGCATATGTGTGTCCATGGTCAGCATGTTTTTGTGCCAACAGTGCACTCAATGCACACTCCCACCACAGTGACTGAGCTGTCAAAGACAGCTCCCATTGGCTAGTAGTCATGTGACCACTGTGATAGCTAAAAGGATATTGGGGCTGGGCAGGATGGGTTAAAGAAGCTGCATTCAGCAATTTTAGAGGTTAGTCAGTCTCCTCAATGTTTGTATGACAGGGAGAAGAAAAGTACTCTAAAATATCTCCAGCTATTGTGTTTTCCTTCTTTAAATTTGTATTTCTATATCGCTTTTCTCCCTAGGGACTTAAAGCACTTATGTGGCGATGCCATCTTGGGTGCACTCAACTGAGCCAGTTAACCTACCAGCATGTCTTTGGAGTGTGGGAGGAAACTGGATTACCCGGCAGAAACCCATACACGCACAAGGAGAACATGAACTCTGTGCAGATAGGGTCTTGGTTTGAATTCGAACTGAGGACCCTAGTGCTGCAAGGCAGAAGTGCAATATGCAATGCTTATTAAAAAATAATATATTGTATAAATTTTTTAGACCGTATCTGTAAACTTCATGTTCCTAAAATTCCTTGTTAAAGAACAAAATAGTCCCTTCTTACACACTAAATAAAATGTATAACTGTCTGGAAAAAAACAAACATTGTATGTATTGCTATTAGCAGGCTGTCACATCCCATCAGCTATTTTTGTAGAACCCAATGGAAAATACCCGCAAGGGGCTAATTAATTATAAGCAACACAGAATTTTTTTGTACAAGCCACAGATGACCAAACATCTGGTGAAACCAAACACAATGAAACCGGACAAAGGCACCACAACATGAGATTGTTTTCTTTGTATCAGACTTTACTACATCAGTAATTGTCTGTAAAATAATTATTTCATTCAAGTCAGTATGGCCATAAATTATTTCTGTCATGAAACAAAATATATATCAACTTTCTTCTCTTATTTTTTTTTAAGTATATATTGTATGTATATTTATATATTTATATCTTTATAGTACAATTACCATAGAAAAGAACAGCTATATTGGACAACAGTAAATCACACAGGATAACAGTCATTACGTTTAGGTTGAACAAATATATTCTTTGCTAAAGGCTTGATTCTAGTACTTCGTCCCAGCAGCTGAAATACCCGTGTACAAAAGGAGCCCAGTGTCACTTGGTCATGGTGGAGTGGATGGAGGGGTGCCTTTAAGACTGCTGAGTGCTGCATGGATTCGAAAATGAAGCCGTGATTCCATGGAGTAATCCTTGTAATTGTTTCTGTAAAAAAAAGATAGAGATTGGTAGTCAGGTGGTAGACATTTCATCAAACAGAAATAGGCAAGAAATAACAGTCATGAAATAAATATGGGAACCTTGCCCTTGGATAATTTTAATATGCAGATTTTGCAGCCATCACTTACTCTACCAATCACATATGAATGGTGCAATTATGCAAGATCAATTGCTACTCCTTACGTAGGGGAACAGAATGTTTCAACTGTGCAATAAAATGTAGCTTTAAAAAAAAAAAATCAAAACCTTAAACAAAAAGGGACTTCCCATTGTTGAAGTACAAGACATACATCAAATGGCAATGAGAGCCACTGCCACTAACTCAGCCCAAAGTGTATCATCCAAATATCCATAATCAGGGGCTCAAGTTTAGCTGGCTGTTTATTTAAAGCAGGGGTGTCCAAACTATGGCCCTCCAGGTGTTGAGGAACTGCAAGTCCCATGAGGCCTTGCAAGACTCTGACATCCACAGGCAAGACACCCAGAGGCAGAGGCATGATGGGACTTGTAGTACTTCAACAGCTGGAGGGCCATAGTTTGGACACCCCTGATTTAAAGGATAAGTTTACTTTTTGGACAAAAATAACAAATGCACATTTTTTTGCAGGTAAAAAAAAAAATTTGAATTTATCATTTTTTGTCCAAAAGGAGCCTGTAAAGAATTGCACCAGTGATCAGGAGATGCCATGCAGGTCTCCTGAAGACCTGTCAGAATATCTGGTAGCCGTATGGGATATACAGCCAAGCAGATATTCTGACAGGAAGCTTGAATGAACTACCACGGCGCTGTGGTAGTTCATTGAAAACTACAAGCCGATGGCCGCTAAGGCTGCCGGAACTTGTAGGCACGCAAAGAATTCTGTGAATGAGTGACACGGCCGTGTGGCTGGAGCCCCACACGGCCGCGTTGTTTTCAAATCTGACAGATAGTACAGGGAGAAGTTTCCCTGTACTATCTGTAAAAGGGAGGAGGGGAGGCGGGCGCTGCTGCGATTATGGGAACATGTTCCACCCTAAAAACGGGTGGAACATGTAACATGTTCCCAAAGGTGAACTTATACTTTAAATTTAGATGACTGCCAGTAAACTTATTTTGTACCCCGCATTGCAATGGTGTAACAGAGGCTGAAAGCCTGGACTAATCCATCATTATCACTTATTGAACAAATTAATTTAGTCAAAATGAAAATCCTTCCGGTAATGTATTTTTTAAGACGACATTTAGCGGTTTTGATCCAGAGAGCCACTTTTAAACAATATGACTCTTGTTATATCCTTTCCATGGCACCCTTTTAGATTCAGTAAAAGGACACTGTCGCCCCTGAACCCAAGGGGGCCTGGTGCTATCTGGCAGCATTAGTTACACATGCCCATGACTGGATAAAATCAGATGACAAAAATGCCTCAGTTGTACTAGAGGCTGCCTTCTCAGCTGTCTACAAAACGTTGCATAATCTCTTTTATAGAAGGTTGCGGGCTCCTTTTTCTCCTCTTCCTCCTGCAATGCAGACTTTTATCAAAGTTTGGCACATCACTTTGATTAAACCCAATACCTATTGTTATTACTGGTCCCCTCACACTCCACTCTGGCTCAATCTGACGCTTGCTGAATTTCAATCGATTCCTGATTCCTCCCTTTGGGCCACTAGGGATATTAAAGGTCTGGGACACATATGTGAGGGGGGTCAGATAGGGGTATTAAATTTTGATGCATTGAAGTCTGATGCATGGAAATGCAAATTTGACCTGCCCAAATCTTTTTTCACTTCAGGTTCCCCAACTCCTCCACGCCTACAATTCTCAATTTGCTCCGCCAGGATTCAGTTGGCTCAAGATGCCTTGGAATCTCTCCTGCGGGATGACTCCTTATGTAAACCATTATCTGAGATTTATACAAGCATCGATGCTCTCTATTCATGCAGGCTTAGATATCTTGAACACCATGTGCCAAGCGGAGAAACCGGAACTGGATGGAGAGGACTGGGAGGCTGCTTGGGAATATTCTTTCCTGCAATTAATAGTGACTGATTCAATTCAAGATTGTTCACAGAGTTTACTTCCCGCCACAACAGTTGCATAGAATTTACCCTGATACTCCTTCCCGATGTTGGAGGAATGTGTGTGACCCTGACTATTTTATTCACATATTTTGGGAATGCCCACAAGTGCAAATCTATTGGTCGGAAGTAACTCCATTAATCTCTACTCTGACCACAGTTCTTTTCCCCCTGACTGTTGGTGCATGCCTATTGGGATAGTATAGTACTCTACAGGATCTACGTAACCTCCGCAACCTGAACCCGACCCTCTCCACTCGGCAGCTGACCGTCTGTACGACAGTATCCTTCCACTGTCATGCCCTGACCTGGCCACTACTGCATACAACGACTCACTGTCAGCTGCCCTAGACTCCCTGGCACCCCTAACCACACGTAACATCAGACCCCGACCGCTTCAACCCTGGCAGAATGACCATACAAAATGCCTCAAACGACGCAGTCGCGCACTGGATCGATTATGGCGCAAAACCAGATCCCCTCGAGCATTCTCCCTCTACAAATCCGCCTTCCTCACCTACACCTCCTCCCTCCATGCCGCCAAGCAAGCCTACTTCGTAACCCTCATCAACTGCCCACGAGATTGCCAATCATTTCAAAAACAAGATTGACGCAATCCGTAAGGACATTGTCAATTCACAATCTACCTCTCCACCAAGCCTACCTCCCTCCATCACCCCCTCACCTCTCCCCTCCTCTGACCTCGCAACCGCACTGCCCCCCACCACACCAACCAACGTCCCGCACACTATAACCTTCCCAAACACTCCGCTCCTTCAGCCCTGCTACCACTGAGGAGGTCACTAAGGTCTTCACTGAAGCCCGCTTCACCACTTGCCCTCTGGACCCTATCCCCTCACAACTCCTCCGGTCACCCCCCTCCTCCATCATTCACTCCCTCACCCACATCTTCAATCTCTCCCTCTCTACTGGCGCATTCCCCTCCCCCCTAAAGCACGCACACATCACCCCCATACTCAAAAACCCTCCCTGGACCCCACTGACCTGAACAACCTTAGACGCATCTCCCTGCTGCCACTCACTTCCAAGCTCCTTAACCGCTTAGTCTACACTCCACCGAAACCGCTTTACTTAAAATCACTAACGACCTGCTAACCGCCAAAGCTAATGGCCACTACTCAGTCCTCCTACTCCTCGACTTCACCACAGCCTTCGACACAGTCGACAACCCCCTCCTCCTTACTAAACTACACTCCCTTGACATCAGGGACTCTGCTCTCTCCTGGTTCTCCTCTTACCTATCCCAACGCTCCTTCAGCGTTACCTATAACGCTGCCAACTCCCCCTCTCTGTTGGAGTCCCCCAAGGCTCTGTCCTAGGACCCCTTCTCTTCTCTATCTACACCTCCTCCCTTGGCAAATTGATACACTCCCACGGCTTCAATTATCACCTCTATGCCGATGACACACAAATTTACCTCTCTGCATTTATCCATCAGGTGCTAAAGGGGTGTAACCACATTAACTCTAGAAATTCTGAAGGACCCTCTGCACACTGGTATATACTCTTTCAAGCAAACTATGATAGCACCTGATGGATAAATGCATGCACTAGCTGTATGGATTTGAACACAGGGATCTCTTGTTTGTTGTATTGTTGGGTCAGTAGCCAGACCTGAACTTTGTAGCTCTCCCCATTGTGTCTTTTCCCCTATGCTAGCATTGTGTCCACAGTAGCACTTGCGTAGGCAGGGCAGAGTAGGACTGGCCATAGAGGGATTACTTTGACGCAGTTGGCCAGCTTAAGCATGTATTGCAATATGTGTGAACTAAATATCCCTATTTATTGCATAGTTTGCTTGAAAGGGTATATACCAGTGTGCAGAGGGTCCTTCATAATTTCTAGAGTTAATGTGGTTACACCCCTTTAGCACCTGATGGATAAATGCATGCACTCCCTTATTATTTCACGCCTGGACTACTGCAACTCCCTTCTCACTGGCCTACCCAAACACATGCTATCCCCGCTCCAGACTATCCTGAACTCAGCGGCTAGACTCATCCACCTCACCAAACACTCCACTTCTGCCACCCCCCTCTGCCAATCCCTTCACTGGCTCCCGATTTCCCAACGTATTAAATTCAAATTACCAACTCTGACATACAAAGCCACTCATAACGCTGCCCCAAACTACCTCACTGACCTGATACCCAAATACCACCCTACCCATGCCCTTCGCTCTTCACAACACCTCCTACTCTCTAGCTCCCCGGTCTCCACCTCCCATGCCTGACTGCAGGACTTCTCCAGGACTTCCCCCATCCTCTGGAACTCCCTACCCCAATCCATCAAACTGTCACCTACCCTCCTCACCTTCAGGCGCACCCTGAAAACCCATCATTCAGGGAAGCCTACCCCACCCTCACCTAACAGCCGTTCTCCTCCACTCCTACCACTCCATCCCCCGCAGCCACTTCCTCCTGTACCTCTACCCCCTCCCTCCTAGATTGTAAGCTCGAAAGAGCAGGGCCCTCGAACCTCTCGTGTATTGTATTGTCTCATGTACTGTCCCCCCACTCTAATGTACAGCGCTGAGCAAACCCTTTGGCGCTATATAAACACTGTATAATAATAATAATAATAATACTGGATCTACTGTTATTTCCACTTGAGAACGATAGCCTTCCAGGCATAAAATAAGACAGGGCCCCTACTATACATTTTAGGAAGTCCTTGCTCAACTCTGCAGTCCCCCTTTAAAAAGTAACTTCTCTCCCCGGGCTGTCCGAAAAAGTTTGACAAGATATGTAATCTGTGGCTGAGCTCTGCCTCCACTACCGACCTGTCACTTGATCAGGGATCTGGTTCCCAGACACCTAACATTGGTTGAGCTGTTTGGAAATTTCTGTAATATCTCCAAAATACTGTATTTTTTGGGAGTTTTGCTTTCACTTCCCTCCTGAGTTCTTATCACTTTGGAATGTTTTGTACTAATGACGAGGTATATTTCAAGTGAGGCATTATTGCCTTGTACAACCTTGCACCTTTGGCGTAGACTTAAGCAGAAGGATTGCAGTTTGTATTTTTTTTGTATTTTTCTTTTTCCCCTTTTTTGGTTGTGTTTTGTTTTGTATATTTGAGCCGGGGAATGTCCAAAGGCTTTGTTTTGTAGCTGCAGTTTGAAAATTATTAAACAAGTTATAAAAAAAAAAAAAAAAAATTAGGAAGACGGTCAGCAAGTGGGTAAAACTGACCAAACACCTAACTTCTTAGCCTTCCTTCACAACCTGCGAGTCTCAGATCTATAACTAGCTTGCACACATCAGGTGTTTGTGCTTATTCCTAGTCTGTGACTTATTATATAGCGGAGAAAGGATTTATTAATTCCCAAAATCTATCAGCAATGGCATGCAGTGATGTGGTTTTCTCTGGCAAAATTTGTAGCTGCATTTACATCCTGACCACAGAATACAATACATGTTATCATAAAAATGTCCCCTGTGGTGAAAAGGGAGGTTTCCAGTGATTGAAGAAAAAAAAAAAAAAAAAAAAAAGCAGAAATGAATACAAATATGTTATGTATACAGAACAAAGATTACATCAAACGCAACTATATTCTAGGGAACTTCTAGCATTGTATGTGAAATCTTCCAGTTTTTATAAAAATTATCAAACAGAAACACACTGATGTTGATCCACTTGAATTAGGTAAAAAAACTCTGATTGTCTACAGCATATCAAATGCCCTGTTTTGGGTTTTGATTAGTTTTGAATGTGAACATTTAATTGGTTGATGCAGCTAGTGTCCTTGTTCTTTTACTACTATATGCAACTTTTTTTGGTAATAGTAAACTAAGCGATTTTTGTATTTTACTAGGCAAGCCCATAAATGTTGGAAGTGTATTTAAATGCACGTCCCCTTTTATCACACCACACACCCTTTTGTAGATACAAAGCATACAATAGTGGGATTTTACAAAACACACAAAGATACTCACTTTGCAGTTTCAATAAACCTTATGGCTTTATCTTTGTCTCCTTGTTGCTTGTATAACAGCCCCAATTCGTAGTAAGAAAATGGGATTAAATAGTGGTCATACTTCAGTCTCTTTTCACTGAAAGGTTAAACAAGACAGATATCAGAATGCAGACAAATACTGTATACACCATGCATACCTGTAATGTTATATAATATAAGCAAATATACGCATTACCCCTCAGCAAACACTCACAGATCAACCTTCATCATTTTAGTGTGGTCAGAAAAATTAAATATTTTCTGGTTTCTATGAGTTACTGAAGATCGTGTGATATCTTGTTTAAATCAACAGGGAATGGTACAACATGCAATAACCTATGGTTAGTCAGCCTGCACTCGACTGTCAGAAACAAAATGGATAGTCACCATGGTTCACAGCTTATAAATTATTTTACAATGATATTAAATATATCCATGAGACTGCAGTCTATTGGGGGAAAACACAACACTCCAGTAATTTCCAGATGGATCATGTGTCATTAACTTGCATGTTGTTTCTCAAGAACAGGGGTCTCCAAACTTTCTAAACAAAAAGGACCAGTTTACTGTCCTTCAGACTTTACAAAGGTCAGACTGCAGCCAATGGGGAGTAGAAAAGGTCCTGACGTCAGTGAGAAAAAAATATTGTGTCCCATCATTGATGTAATAGGACCCTATCATTTGTGTCACTGGCAGGAATTGTGCCCCATCATTGGTGTCATTTGAAGGAGTTGTGCCCCCTTCATTGGTGTAAGTGGGGGGAATTATACCCAATTGTTGGTATTAGTAGATGAAATAATGCCCCAAGGGCCAGATAAAAGCAAGCATAGGGCCGCATCTGGCCCCTGGGCCACAGTTTGGAGACCACTGCTCAAGAATGTAGCAGGAATCACTTAAAGTACACCATAAGCAGCCACTGTATAAAATATATCATGTATTTGCTTTTACCTCTGGATGACTTGATTGAAGCAAAGCTCTGCTTGTAATAATCTACCCAGATGTTTCAAGCAAAGACCTTTTAACAACTGAACAAGGCACTGGTCATCTCCATAGTATTCGCTTGGATCTATTTAAAAAAAAAAAAAATGTATGATGACAAACGTTTAGATAAATGTTGACAACATTTTTTAAAGTTAGAAAAAAAAAAAATAATGTCAGTTGGATGCATTTAAGGGCAACCATGGCCACAATGTGCAAAACCAACAGAGGCAAACTATGGCATTTATGTACATCAAGAAAAAAAATCCCCTACGGATATATTAACTAGCTGCCGACCGCAGATAGCCGAATGACGGCTGCACTGCGGCCGGCCAGTTCTGAGTGGACGTCATATGACGTCTTCCCAGAACGCGCTCTCATGCGCGCCCCAGGGGGCTCCGTGATCTCCGTGATCGCTGTGTCCTACAGACACAGCTGATCACGTGATGTGGTAAAAGGCCAATCACAGCGGCCTTTTACCACGTGATCAGCGGTGTCCAATGACACGCTGATCAGAGGGAAATGCAAGTGCCGGTTCTCGGCTGCACTTTCCTCACGCTGTCAGATCGTGAGGAAAGTACTGCCGAGAACCGGCAGTTATCAGAGCGGGGATCGGCACCGATCATCAGGGCACTGATGATCGGTGCCCAGCAGTGCCACCCGCAAGTTCCGCCCAGCAGTGCGCCCACTAGGTCGCCCACCCGTGCCCAGCAGTGCACCCACCTGTGCCCAGCAGTGCCACTGTGCCACTCTGCAGTGCCACCTACCTGTGCCCAGAAGTGCCACCCACCTGTGCCCACCAGTGCCACCCACCTGTGCCACCCACCAGTGCTGCCCACCAGTGCCACCAGTCAGTGCCCAGGGGTTGTGCCAGTCAGTGCCGCCAATCAGTGCCCAGGGGTGATGCCAGTCAGTGCTGTCTCTCAGTACCCATAATCAGTGTCACCTGTCACCTATCAGTGCTGCATATTAGTGCCGCCTATCCGTGACACCTCATTAGTGCTGTCTATCAGTGCCGCCTATCCGTGCCACCTCATTAGTACTGCCTATCAGTGCCCTTTAGTGCTGCCTATCAGTGCCCATCAGTGCCGCCTATCAGTGCCCATCAGTGCTGCCTCATCAACGCACATCAGTGAAGGAGAAAAAATACCTGTTTGAAAAATGTTATAAAAGAAACAAAGAAACTTTTTTTTTTTTTTCAAATTTTTTGCACTTTTTTTATTTATAGCGCAAAAAGTAAAGCGCCCAGTGGCGATTAAATACCACCAAAAGAAAGCTCTATTTGTGAGAAAAAAATGATAAAAATGTCATATGGGTACAATGTTGCATGACCGCGCAATTGTCAATCAAAGTGCAGCAGCGCTGAAAGCTGAAAATTGGCCTGGTAAATAAGGGGGTATAAGTGCCTGGTAGGCAAGTGGTTAAAGTGGCTGGACACTCCATAAGATACGACAAAATCTATCACTGAATCTACCAACTGTGTACATATATATTACAGCATTACATCCAGCAGGTCTTATTTCTGTAACAAAAAGAGATCAGAAAAATAATTTCCTAATCTCTCTCTCTGACTGTATGGCTCGCTAGGCTTTTGTTTTGTCCTATAAACAGTCCAATAATCATGATTCTGCAGGGATCTTAGTGATCAAATGACAAATATTTATGGTCTATAAACAGTTCACATTTTTCAGTTCTCTTTACAGATTAATATGAAGATAAAAAAATGCAACACAGCAGCAACAGACTGCTTAACATATCTACAAAGAATTTGTGAAAGCAAATAAAACCGCATTCTCACACACCTTCCAAAACAAACCACTGTCATTGATTCCCTTCTTTTGAAGGTAGAATGCAAAGTCATGACAGTTCATGGGAAATATACTAATGCTTGAATAAGTAATCTTAGAGCACTTCTGTAGTTTAATTAAATTCTTATTTACACATTCAAACTTACTTTTTTCATTTTGCAAAGCAGTTTCTGCTTTCTCAATTGTAACCAGGAGGTTTTCTGTGAGGTCAGCCCTCCTCCCTACTATTGTGAAGCCATTCCACACATACATCATTTCCTGTAACATAAGAAACACAAGTATAAACAGAGAATGAAACACAGATTTAAATACAATACTACAATCAGAATGCCAAAATACCTATGTTCATATGCACAGATTACTGAGAAGTTACAATATGATGTCCTCCCAGAACCAGCCGCTGTCCTAAGGACACAGCATGACAAGGTAAAAGGCCGAACACAGTGGCCTTTTACCACGTGATCAGCTGAGTCCAATGACACAGCTGATCACAAAGTAAATACAGTTGCCCGTCATTGGCAGCACTTTCCTCACCCTGTCACAGCATGAGGAAAGTACTGCCTATAACTGGCGAGTGTCACAGAGAACATCTGCATTGATAATCAGAGCCACAGGTTGGGCACCCCTGCTTTATGATTTAGGGGTATCCAAACTTTTGACTTTCCTGGGCCACACTGAAAGAAGAGGAATTGTCTTGGGACACACATGAAATACACTAAAAAAGAAGGATCGCTGATGAGCAGAAAAAGTCAGGCAGATCACAAGTTAATCATCACTGATATAGATAATGTACCTGAGTAATAAAACTTTTTTTTTGTAATATTTTTATGATAAAAGTAAAAGAGGGCAACATAAAACTAGTATGATATTTGACACGGTTTTTGATAAACATCAATATCTGCTTGATGGATGTAGTATCAATTCTCAATGAATTCTCAAAGTGCTCATCAGATATTTTGGTTCTAATTTTGCCATTTGTGTGCTTTATCCTTAAAAACTGTTGCTCACAAATATAGGAGCTGCCGAAAACTGATAACATGAATAAGTTATGATTGTGACGAGTGGGATATTTTTCTTTCGGAAGATAAAACAAAAACAAAAAAAAAAAAAAAAAAAAAACTTTACAAAAGTTGAGTAAATTGACACAATATAATTTTTCTTCAGCCGTATTTTTACAAAAGAATCAACATTTTAGAGTTTATGATTTTGTGTTGGGTGGCATTCATAACCATCGTGGGCCACAGGTGGACACCTTTGATTTATAAGGACTTTTTTTTCTATCGGTTTTCTCCTTTCTATTTCACTTAATGGACAGTTATTACAAGGAAGCACTGCTTATTGTTTGTTTAGGGCTAATAACATGCTTTTTTGGCTATGGGCTGCTCCCTCTCCTTTCTTCTCTACTGATACTTAAACAGGTGCCCACAGTAAGAAATGGTTATGTATGGAGTAAGGGTAGATTCTGCAGCTCCTGGGTGATCAAAAATAGTGGAAGCTTTTTATTCAACATATCAACTCACACTAGTTTTAATAAGGAAAGGTTTACTTTAGGTCAACTTAGTCAAGCTAGAAATTAATTTTATTGGCACTAAAAGGGCTGGCAAAGGGGTTAACAAGGTTAACATGACATACAAATTATCCAATTTCTGCTATTTGACATTTTTGTAGCCAAATGCAATAAAACAATTACAGTTGTTAAGATTGCTTATCTATTGGTTTGTACCAAGTTGGCTAGGATAATTCTGTGGCAGGGGATTGTTTTAATGAAGCTTTGCACCCTCTGTGTAAATATCAAGTGCAATGATGCATCTCTATCAAATCTCATCGCTTTACATGCAACAATTTTGCTGGTCTTTTTTCTAGATTCCACACAGAGGTCAATAGGACTGACAGCAAATTCTGACCGCAAATTCTGACCGCAGCATTGTGTACAGCAATTTGAAGAATGCGCTCGCGGAATTTGTGGCAGTGGATTGTGATATTGATGTTCCAAAGTATTAGAAAAAGGGTGTGCAACCTGTGGCCCTAAAAGCCCTCTGATGTGGCCCTCAAGCTCAAAGAAAAGAAGAGCATTCCTGGGGTCAACAACCCGCCATTCCAGAGTGCATCAAGCCGGTGTCAGCAGCAGAGGAAGCAAGTGGCCATGGAGGGAGCAGGAATGCTTAAACCGATGCATCCTTTGCAGAGCCAACTTCTGTCCCAGACAGACTGATACCGAGTGTACTTCACCTGGGACCTTCCTAGCAGCATGGAGAGCGATGCCAGCAGAAGCTGGAAGAGGAAAAGTGGTCAGTGTATTAAACACATACACTGCGGTTTTACAATGGGCATATTAGCACCTATAAAAAATACTATTAAGCTGCTTTCACACTGATACGCAGATGCAGCACAGTGCACCTGCAACTTTCCTGTGGGTTGGCTGCAAGGAGCCAAAGACATCTATTATAACTTGCGGGTGTAGCGCACTTTCAGAAAGTGCACCACACCCACAAGATACATTAGAAATCTATGACAAACAGCATCGCACCCACAAAAAAGGAGCAGGTGCACTGCACCAGGAGTGCGGGTAAACTAGAGTGCATCAGTGTGAAAGCAGCCTTAAAGGGGGCTCAGGATAGTAAGGGCTCGTTTACATTTGCAGTTTGGGGTGTGGTAAAACCCAATAGTTAAAGTGTTACTAAACCCTTGACCCTGCATTTACTATATCCAGTCTACAGTACACAGAACATGGAAATGCATTTATTTCAGTAAATATAAACTGCTAAATACTTTTTCTCATCAGCAGTATGTAACAGTCTTGTGACTTTTATCAGTATCTGGTGAAGCACTGGTTAATCTTGTTGGAGTTTTTATTCTCCTTTGAGGCTGTATGACCTCTGACCCTTAGTCTGGACAGCGCTGTTTGGCTCTGTGCTGATCCCATGCACCCTCCCAAAAAGCAATGCACACCAACCAGAGCATGTACAAACTTGCCCATGCTGCTCTGTAGTATGGCAGATGGATTACGGACAGTAAAAGAAGGGGAGGATTAGAGAAGACAAAATGTGATGGAGGATTAACCCCTTAGGTTCCACAGTGAGTATAAAAAGCATGCTTTACTGCATATACAGACTGATTTTACGGTTACTGGGTTTAGTAACACTTTAAGACGTGTTTTTACCATCCCCCAACCACTGGTGTAGTGTTAGGGGTCACAGAGGTTCCATGCTCTAGGAGGCCTGTGTGGCCTGTCAGATTCTGTTTTACACTTTGACAGGAGGGGCAGCAGAGGAGGTATCTCCGTTTTTCTCCTACTGCAAAAAAGCGGCTTCTCCTCCTTGCGGCTGCAAGAGGTAAACATTCATTATACTATTCAAAATAAAAAGAAAAATGTGAAATTCTGAACCATTTCATTTCATTGTGGCCTGTGACTGGTTACCAAATCACTTAAGTGGCCCTTTCTTTTTAAATGGTTGGGAACCCCTGTATTAGAATTATGGTGCACACACTGCTGTAGCTGACCCCAAAACTAAATTTAACACTTCATGGACTTCGTTATGTTGCCAACTTTTGCATGCAGATACCAAATATATACAGCACTCACCAAGGCTGGCAAGGTCAGTTTTACAGGGTTAGCAGCTGAATATCTTCTAGACTTTCTGACTGCAAACTTTTCTGTAGGGATGGACTTCCCAGCGATTCTTTGCTTGAGACCTTCTACTTGTCTGAAATAAATTGAATTTATTTGTATATTTTTCCATTAAAAGAATGCAAAATGTTTCTGCAATAGCATTGTTTCAGTCTGCTCTGCATAATAAATTAATGTAATCCCCTAAACTTTATTTAAAAATGTCCTAAAACGTCAAATAACTTACAATTCATGCTGATTTTTTAAGTACAAATGAATGCAAATACAGTTGTGTTCAAAATAATAGCAGTCAGACATCACTAACCTGATCAATCACTGTTTTTGGTAGAAATGATATTTCTACATGGCAAATAATTTACTGGCAGTTGTAGTAGAGTAATAGAAATCCAACAGACCCAACAGTCATGACATGCATGCTGCTGATTCTGTGTAATTGAATCACTAATTGAAAGGGGAATGTTCAAAATAATAGCAGTGAGGAGTTCTATTAATGAGGTCATTCATTCTTTGAAAAACAGGTGGCAATTATTGCCCTTATTTAAGGAAGGAAGGCAGCAAATGTTGTACATGCTGGTTACAGTGCATTTCTCTCTGAAATTCTGAGGAAAATGGGTCGTTCCAGATATTGTTCAGAAGAACAGCGTACCTTGATTAAAAAGTTGATTGGAGAGGGGAAACATATAAAGAAGTGCAGAAAATGATAGGCTGCTCAGCTAAAATGATCGCAAATGCTTTAAAATAGCAACCAAAACCTGAAAGACGTGGAAGAAAGCGAAAAACTACCATTCGAAAGGATAGAACAGCCAAAATGGCAAGGACTCAGCCAACAATCAGCTCCAGGAAGATCAAAGAAGGTCTAAAGTTACCTGTGAGTACTGTTACAATTAGAAGACGCCTATGTGAAGCCAAGCTATCTGCAAGAAGCCCCTGCAAAGTCCCACTGTTGAAAAAAAGACATGTGCTGAAGAGGTTACAATTTGCCAAAGAGCACATTGACTGGCCTAAAGAGAAATGGCGCAACATTTTGTGGGCTGATGAAAGTAAGATTGTTCTTTTTGGGTCTAGTGGCCAGAGACAGTTTGTCAGACGACCCCCAAACACTGAATTCAAGCCACAGTACACTGTGAAGACAGTGAAGCATGGTTGCACAAGCATCATGATATGGGGATGTTTCTCATACTACGGTGTTGGGCCTATTTATCGCATACCAGGGATCATGGATCAGTTTGAATACATCAGAATACTTGAAGAGGTCATGCTGCCTTAGGCTGAAGAGGAAATGCCCTTGAAATTGGTGTTCCAACAAGACAACGACCCCAAACACCAGTAAACGTGCAACATCTTGGTTCCAGACCAACAAGATTGACGTTATGGAGTGGCCAGCCCAATTCCCGGATCTTAATCCAATAGAAACCTTGTGGGGTGACATCAAAAATGCAGTTTCTGAGGCAAAACCAAGAAATAGAGAAGAACTGTGGAATGTAGTCCAATCATCCTGGGCTGGAATACCTGTTCACAGGTGCCAGAAGTTGGTTGACTCCATGCAACACAGATGTACAGCAGTTCTCAGAAACAGTGCTTATACAACTAAATATTAATTAAGTGATTGAAAGGAAAGCAAAATCTTCAAACATTTTTCAGTTTATATAGTGAATGTTTGAGTTTGTAAAGAAGAATACAAACACTGCTATTTTTTTTGAACAGTCTTTTCTTAAATTTTTTTCAGAGGAACAACACAAATTTGATATATTTTTCTTCATGTTTTGATTTGGAATAGAATGTGTAGTGTTCCCAATGCATTTGTGTGTATGCAAATAAAAGCTATTAGAAGGATTTTGAGCTTTATTCACTTTTGTCAACACACTGCTATTATTTTGAACACAACTGTATATTTCATGATGATCTTTTAAATTTTTAATACAAAAAATATGAGGGACGTTCAAGTCAAACTGGGACATTTCGGTTTATATAACAAAAGAAAAAATTTCAAGGAGTGGAAACTGCATTTATTTTTCAACATACTCCCCTACTACATTTAACTAATCTATGGAAAACGTTCGCATAGAAAGATTTGTCAGTACACCTAAACCATCCTAGGACAGCCTGCTTCACTTCCTCAGAGGTCAGCATTTTTAGCACTGATGACAAACTCTTTTAGGGGTCCAAACAGGTGGAAATCACTCAGAGTGAGGTCCAGGATTTAAGGGGGATGTGGTAATACCTCCCAGCCAAGTTGCTGTAATGTGCACATAGTGCGTCGAGCATTATGAGCTTGTGCATTGTGCTGGAGAAACAGGACACCTCTAGTGATCAAACCAGGCTGTTTTTTTCTGCAGACATGTATGCATATCACTAAGGACATGCAGTAATATTCACTGTTGATAGTGGCACCACGAGGTAGAAAATCCACATGAATAACACCACGTTTGTCCCAGAAAACACTTGCCATCAATACCTGCGGAAGCAATTGTTCAAAATTTTTTAGGTGGTGGCGAGTCTGCATGGTTCCACTGCTTTGATGTTCATTTCGATTCCGGAATGAAATTATGTGCCCAGGTTTCATCACATGTAATTAAAATCCTGGTATCTCCTTTAACACACTCCTTCAATGCAGTGCAGACTTCAACTCTTCTGTGCCAGTCAAAAGTGGAAAGCTGTCTTGGTACCCAGCGTGCACTAACTTTTCAAAAATGGAAATGTTTGTGAATGATTGTGTTCACTGTTCCCACAGAAAGATTGTCTCTAGTGCAATTTGATGGCAGGTTATACGTTGATTAACCCAGGATCAGGCGTTCTATGTACTTTATGTTCACAGGAATGACTGCTGTAGGCTGGGAACCACCATGGCCGGGATCGTCACTGAAGGACGCACGGCCATCTATGAAAAGTTTACACCACTTAAATATCTTACTGCAGCTCAGCATCTCATCACCATACTGTGCTTGAAGTCTTCTATAGATATCCACAGGTTTTACACCTTTGTTCACAAGAAACTTTATTACCACACACTGTTCCATGCACTCACTAACTCTGTTGTCTACCATCTTGATTATTGGTCTTTGGACCGGCCGTGACATGTGCGCCACCTATCAGTAACAGGACACACTTGCAGCTTACTACTGCGTGTAGTACTGCCAAACTAGCATCCATTTTTGTACCTGTAAAATTAAAGGTACCGATTTGACTTGAACATCCCTTGTATACATATTTGTGAGGATTGTATATAACTCCAGATTCTTTATAGAGAAGCAAAACCAATATGAAGAAAGAGGATGGTTATCACAAGGAAGTGTTAATATCTTATGCACAAAGGCTATATTATATTAAAAATTGTAATTTAAGCAATATTGTTAATGGGCTTGTGCCTGCACAGCACACAGTTAACAGGAGGCATCACCTTGTTAGTTTCTGTAGTGAGCAATTTTTACCTCTGCAACTGACCAGGATAAATCTAAACTTGCAAACTTTCCAACCTCAATATGTTTTGTGCCAAAATCAATAACAAAAATAATCTGTCATCATCTAGGAGAAATAAACAAGCACATAATCGATAAAGCTAATTGTTTTATCAGTATAGCTTGTTGATAAGAACAGAAAAATAAACTGAGGGACTTTACACTGCAGTTACAGCTCTATGCTAATAAAATGGTGGCAGTCATTGGCTTTCTTGACACTTATCAAATATCTATTGTACAAAGCAAATTTCACAGGCAAACAAGAACAGAAGCAATGTCTTCATCTTCAATTTAAAAGCCAGTTGGAAAGCACTGCACAATGCAGTATATGCAGAGCTACATTTCCCTTAAGTCTAATATAAAATGCATTGTGAAACATGGTTAACAAAATGGTACCTGAACAAGGCAACTATATCCTCTCCTGTGCTTGCAACAGCATCTTCGGGCAGCATGCTTAGGATTGCAGCTTTTTGGAATACATAAATTGCCTAAAAGAAATAAGGCATTATCACAAAAACAGCATCAGTTTACACACACCTGCAAAGAGCAAACGTCCATCCAACATGGGCACAAGACCCTATGTTGTTTTATCCATGGGAATTATAATATCAGTAGAATCTGCCCACTGGGATCCTAAAAATTAGGCACTGCAGGTATTTGAACCTGCTACAAATCCAGTCAGATTTAAGTTATCTGTGCTAGGTGGACTTAAGGCAGCCATGCACCAGCAGATTTCTCACTGACGATAGGTTATGAGATATCTGTCCATCTTTAAATTACTGCTGAAACATAAAGAAAGCTTCTTTTTGACTTGGCCAACAGGTGGGTGTGGCTCATGTTCAGTAAAAGCTTGCATCCCTTTTCTCCTAGGAACAGAGAAAGAATAGCTAGAAGTCCCAGAGATGTTCCAATATGTAGAAAAATTAAGGGCAAGGCTTATTAAAACTGAAAGAGCTTGTTTTCTTGCCTCTACACTGTTGAGGCAAAAACACATTCAACTCTCTGCATCACTAGCTTATTATTGGGCTGCGTACTGCCACCCTTCCATTTACAATAAATACTAGGTCTAAACCTAAATGTGGGTGATGGAAAAAATACGCAAGTTGATATTTAGGCAGGCTCTTGTTTATGTTTTGGAAATATTTTTGGGTTGTAATAATCAGTTGTGGTTATCTGGACAAATCAGGATATACAGTATAAAAATCTATGGTTCTACAACGCAAAGGAAAACAGACATGCTGACACATGTAGTGAGATGAAAATAGCTAAACTTATTACGGTCTCAGACTCCACTACAAGGGCTGTTTTAATCTCTGACACCTAATTTGTAGCCCACTATAATCAATGTGCTGCTATCCAACTAAGTGACTGCTAAGAAGTGGTAAATCATTTAAACAAAATGAACTCCAGCTAAAACTTCTTTACTTAATTGTATTCTAAATGTAATGGGTAAGGGTTTGTCCTGCCTGTCATAGGGACGTTGAAAAAAAAAAAATCTACCTAGTACTGACAGACTACAATGAATATTAGACAGAGCTTCTAGTCCTTTCATACTTTTTAAAATGAAAAACCAACTATTTTAATTTAATAATGACCCTGTAGCTAAAATCTTACAGTATGTAGGAATGCACAATGCAATTTCCAGAATGCTGCTGTCATTAGACTTGCAAATAGCCTTTGATAGTCTGTTGTGGGAATATTCATTTTACTTCCTACAAAAATTATGGGGTTTGGATTGCAATCTCTCCAAATACTTCTACCATATAAATCATTACAAATAGATATTCAGAGATGCACTCAACAGGGGTGTGCCTTTTCACCATTATTGCTTAAGCTGGTGGCGGAGCCCCTTGCCATTGGCATAAGTTCAAACCATGATATTAAAGGGGATAGCCAAAAAGAATACAAGCATGCGCCTCTTTGCGGAGGATGTTAGTGTGTGTGCATATCATCCCCACTTATGACTGCTATGTTTATTAATTTCTGTACCACCACTGGAGAAATTTTATTAGCTTCCTGCTTTAGTAACCATATAGAAAAAAGAGAAAATTTTAAAACTGATGGGGGTTACAAAACCTCACTGCTCATAACAAAAATTAGCTTTGGCTGGAATTGTGCTTTATTATATCCTTGTTTTGTAGACTTGTAGTGGTTTTGCCTATTACATTTCCAGTCAAGGCTGGCTTGATCTTTGGAGACACTCATTTCCCAGATACAAAGGCATTCTCGTGTTTCATCCCTGGCAGAGAGATATTTATCATATTGATCTAATTTTAAAGAATTCTAAAATGTTGTTATCTATATCGGACTCTATAGCTTACGTGACAACAGTCACTGCCCACTTCTTCTACATTATGCTTTACATTTAGCAGGCCTTAGGACCAAGTGGATTTCTTCCCCCCTTTTGACTTAGCCAGATAGGGTCTAACAACTGCAGCCCAGATCAGTAACACTTGATTTAAGAAACTCAAAATAACGATTTTGTAGAATATGTTTTAGCATGCATTAGAAGGTATTTCATTGGAGTGCACTTAAATTCCACTATTTCCTTTATTATAAATTTTTTATCCAGACCCATGAGAACTAGCCGAGGCCTGAGAGGACTATGAATCTCTCTTCATAGAAAACGCAACTGAATCAAATTGTTTGGCTTAGGGCAGGGGTGGGCAACTGTGGCCCTCCAGCTGTCATGGAACTGCATGTCCCATGAAGCATTGAAAGGCTGACAGTTGCATCATGACTCGCAGAGGTATGATGGGACTTGTAGTTCCACAACAGCTGGAGGACCACAGTTTGCCCACCCTTGGCCTAGGACAATGCAACTCACGGACATGTGACCAGGTTACACAACAATACCAAAGGGAAACTATTCTTTAACAAGTATTTTGAGTATGGTAATCACTCTAGCGAAACCATTAGTCTATATTGCTAAGCAATAATGTTTTACCTCTAAAATTCATAGGGCAGACGTTTCAGGTCTCAGTGATGCTGGAGATATACTGAATAATTTCTGTGAATTCTATAGACAAAAGTCTATGCTCAATAAAGACCAAAATGACATTCAATTTTACCTAGGGGCATGAGAATTTCATCAGCTGTCCACAGCCCAAGTTCAGGTGCTGGACAAAGAAATCACAGATCAAGATATTAAACAGGTTGTCTTAGACAGCCATTCTTGGTCTTGGTCATTCAAAGTACAGAAGAGTTGGCTGAATACTCAGGCCTCAAAATTAACTAGAAAAGTCTGTCCTGATGCCACTAGCATCTAGAGTAATGCCCTCTACTCCACCTTAGTCCCCTCTCCCAATCATGCCATCCTTTAAATACCTAAGCATTGTAATCTTAAGAGACTTCTTCTAGACCATTTTATAGAACATTGGTCCAATAATGCAAACTATTAAAGGTAAACTGCAATTGTGGTTTCAGCTGCCCCTGCCTGTCATAGGCAGAATTAATTTGATTAAAACATTTTTTTAAGGAAATGTACTCTTTATTGTCATTCTTCATATGGAGCACTAAAAGACCTAAATTGAAAATGGATATCCTACAAAGGCCCAAATTGGATGCTGGTATGGTTCTACTGGGTAGGTTTTTATATTGCTGTGGCAGGACAACTAAAACACCTAATCACATGGGTCCTCTCTGAAGTTCCTTATAACTCAGAAGCACATTTGGCATGTTTTTTAAACTAGCCAATCGTTTATCTTTCTGGAGGACCCCAAAATATTCTTCTGGAAGCAAATTGGCCAAAGCAGTGTTGACTGAGGTTAAATGCCTGACTTCATTTTGGACTTCTGAGATAACTTTGTAGTTGTATTGTAATCCTCGCTAATATACATGTATACCAGGAAGGTACCAGGAATGTACTCCTTTGCAAAGGAGAGGCAATTTACACCGTAGTTTCTTTTATAGATTCTTACAATTATGCCATAGCTTGGGGAGACAATTCAAGGATCATGATAAATCTCTAACTGCTCACTAACAAAAGTTTATCACATGGTCCCAGGGGGTTAATGTCCACTCTCTAATCCCACTTTCTACATACTAATCTGGAAAAAAAAAAATTGCTATTTGAACCAATTGGCAGACTCTTACCTACTACAGTTAGTCTACAGAGGAATAGGAAGATATTTGTTTCTCTCACATGTCAGTCTTACCATGTTAATAATGGATCACTTCAACAGAAACTTCTATTCGCTCATCTGTTTAGACCACCGATGTTTCACCAAAGCCTGCTCTTTCCAAGTAAAATATTAAAAATACCATTGTAACAAAAAAAAAAAAAAAAATAACAGAGACCTAGTACAGCCTCATTCACACAGGGCATACTACAGGTTACGCCAATGCGAAGCTGTGTTTACCCTGTGTGGGTCCCTGAACTCACACTGTCTGTGTTTGGGACCATGAACCTGCAGCAATGACAGACTGGAAGAAGTGGCTGCATCCATGCATATTTTAGAATATAGTAAGTGAAAAAAACGATTTAATAAAACATTTGTGAAACTATTGCAGGGCCTAAAAAATCAACAGCACTTTTTTTTCTGCAACTCACGTGCTTTCAGAAAACGTATGGTATTGGGTGTCTTACAAATTCTGAAAGCTGTAAGTGCAAAATGAAAATCAGATTTTTAGACTAAACTGCTTATTTACAGTTTTGCCATTTAAAATGTACAAATATTTTGTTATTTATTAACTCAGAACAGTTTTAGCTTTTATATATAGTAGGAATTTAGGCATCTTTTGTATCTGCTAATAATGATGTTAGTGCATTTTTTTGTGAAAATATTGTATTGATAAACATTTGTGCAAATATTGTGAGGCGTAAAAAAATCCTGGCTCCTTCACTCTATAGATGTATGTTACATAGTCCTTGCCAAAGTGTTCATTATCTCAACAGCTGCTGGTTTTAGCCTCTTCACGACCACCTGCCAACAAGGCCCCCTGGACGGGCGGCCGCTGTAGGCAAAGCAACGTATGGGTTCGTCGCTGCCTGCTTCTGGGTTTCGGTTACACACACTCCTTTGCTGGCACCCAATGTGATTGTACAGCTTGTGTAACTGCAGTGTTAGCTGGAGTTTGGCTTCAATTTGTTAGTGTATCTGAATCTGTTAGTACAAATAACACTCCTCTCCCCGCCAGACTGACAATGCTGCTATCCAAAAGGTGCCCCCTGTGTTCCTTCATCCAGAGTGGGGGCACTCTAATATAGGAGGTGTATTACTGGTCAGATCACCAGGTGAAAACAGAGGGATAAAGATATTAAAAAGGAAAAATAATGCAGCCACCACATCAAAGGATTGGTAAACTGCAATATATTAAATTTTTTGGTTTTGGGTTTAAACCCCTTTAACACAAAATAAACAAATGTTTCAAAATGTTTGCAAATGTAAACAAAACACTTTGAATGACTTTGTTACTTCATGCAGAGATATTTTAGTAGAATAAACCTTTAATGAAACCACCATCTGCTGTGTTTTGGTATCCTTCCACAACAAACACTGTGTAGGGAGTTGAAATGCACTCAGATCATCAACCCTTTTGGAATATACAAAGCACAGTAAATGTTCAGTTTGTGTCCTTTGTCAGTTGAAGGTCATGCATTTCAGACCTTTCCTGGGATGAATAAACACAGTATGCCTCTGGTCATCTCAGACATTAATACAAATGGAGGCCTGATTCCTAGCAGTTCTAGAAGCAAACTGCTCTTTGAAATGTCTCCATAACCACCCAACAACTGACCTATTTTAGAAAACGGCAATGATCCTGGTTAAGAGAAATTCTAGGGAAAAAAAATATGTTCAAAAGCATTTTTATTTCTGTGCAGTCATTCTTTGATTCATTAAGCATGTCCCATGTCATACAGCTTCTGATGATTTAGGAGCAAGGCTTAATTATCCCTAAGGTCTCAGCCTCTCCCCTTTTACTAGTTCAACACATCTCCCAATGCCTGAAATATGATACTGTCAGACCTACTGATGGGACACATTTCTGTCACTCTGTGCTGTATTCCTACGCAAAAGTCATATATGACAATTCACTATTGACTTGATTTGATCTTTATACAGTGTGCAACGAGTGATGAGAATAAAAAAGGACACATGGGTCATTATTAGCAACATTTAAATAATATATACATGTATACATATAACACATATATACACATGCACACAAAAGGCTTATATTTAGACACATTGGTGCAATGAAAGCAAATATCATTTGTAGGACAAATCATAGTTTAATACTCTATCTTTAACTATGTGTGATATAAACCATTTGCCGACTGCCAAGAGTACATTTACTGCTGGTGGGCGGTTCTCCCCCGCACCTCAAGGTACCCATATGTTGCAGTGCTCATGAGCACAGCGCGTGCCACCTGCGGCATGATCTGCAATTGCAGTGCATGGTATCGGGCTGCTGTGAATGGTCCAGATACCAGAAGATCACTGTGCAAACACATGCTACACAGTAAACCACAGTCATGAACGTAACCCATTCATGATATCATTGTTTACTATTGTGTGTGATTAGTCACCAGTGATCACTTGGTACCTGGGCAAATTGCAGCAAGCATCTGATAGCTGTGGGCCTATCACAGTATTATATTCGTAAACAAGGAATCAAGAATGAAAGCCACTCATGACAGTTCAAACTACTGCTGTTACAGTGATCATCGCTGTAGAAAGCAATCACAGTAAATAAAAGAAAAGATAAATTTGATTTCATATTTTAATTTTCCAAAAAACTGAGACAAAAAAATTACAACTTCAAAAAACTCGTAATGCCTCTTACTAAAATACCTTGGACTGTCCATTTTCCATAAAATTGTTATTTGGGGGTATTTGTACTATTCTGGCATTTTAGGGCCTCAAGAAATGAGATAGGCAGTCAGTACATCAGGACTGGTTCATTTTCAAATATACACTGCTCAAAAAAATGAAAGGAACACTTTGAAAACACATCAGATCTCAACGGGGAAAAATATCATGCTGGATATCTATACTGATATGGACTGGGTAATGTGTTAGGAAAGTAAGGAAGCCGCATCGTTCATGGCAATGAAAATCATCAATACCAAATTAAAAAAGAAAAAAGCGCCACTTACAAAAAACACCAAAGTGTCAGCAGCATATCCCACCCAAAATAAATTTTGGCAACAATAATCCAAATTAAAAGGTATGCACTAATAACAAACTTATACAAAAGTGTATATCATCATCCAAAAAACATTAGTGTTTTAAATAAATTATAGTGTCCAAACATAAATTAGTGTCCAAAAAAATATATATATCTTCAGTGACTTGAACCAATTGTGAGAAATCCACCACCAAAGGAGATTAAATGAACTCACCAGAGCTAATGGCTGGTCAGATAATAAACCAGCAACAGCGTACCGCCCCTTGATGACGTCGGTGTGATGAAACCGGTTGGACGTAGCCTACTCGATGTGGACGTTAGAGAGCCTTGCTGTTCTGTGCTGTATGGGAGAGATCTGCGGTGAGCGTTAACTGTATCTCAACCCTTTTTTGCGATTGAAGCTGGTGTCTGTTGGACACCTTGTTTGTGAGTTTCCTTATACCTTTTTTATTAAAGAGATAAATGAAAAAAACGTATTGCACCATTATGTTCTCTTTTTTGTCCCTGAGTGTACTGCATGCTCTCATGGAGGTATGAGAAAGAGTGGAGAAGTTCATCATAAGAGCTTGGACTGCAAAGTTGTTTGGCTGTGATTATTATCTGGAAGTATCTGAAACATCACCATATCTATTTGGACATCGGGTTCATTGCTCCCAGAGCACAAGCGCTGTTGCTGGTTTATTATCTGACCAGCCATTAGCTCTGGTGAGTTCATTTAATCTCCTTTGGTGGTGGATTTCTCACAATTGGTTCAAGTCACTGAAGATATATATATTTTTTTTTGGACACTAATTTATGTTTGGACACTATAATTTATTTAAAACACTAATGTTTTTTGGATGATGATATACACTTTTGTATAAGTTTGTTATTAGCGCATACCTTTTAATTTGGATTAATGAAAATCATCAACCTACAGAGGACTGAATTCAAAGACACCCAGAAAATCAAAGTGAAAAAATGAGGCAGCAGGCAAGTCCATTTTGATGAAATTTCATTGCAGCAACTCAAAACAGTACTCAGTAGTTTGTATGGCCCCCACGTGCTTGTATGCATGCTCCTAATGAGACGACGGATGGTGTCCTGGGGTATTTCCTCCCAGATCTGGACCATGGCATCACTGAGCTCCTGGACAGTCTAAGGTGTAACCTGGCAGCGCCGAATGGACCGAAACATGATATTCCAGATATGCTCTATTGAATTTAGGTCAGGCGAGCGTGGGGGCCATTCAATAGTACCAATTCCTTCATCTTTCGGGAACTGCCTGCATACTCTCGCCACATGAGGCTGGGCATTGTCGTGCACCAGGAGGAACTCAGGACCACTGCACCAGAGTAGGGTCTGACAATGGGTCCAAAGATTTCATTCCGATACCTAATGGCAGTCAAGGCTGCTATTATCTAGCCTGTAGAGGTCTGTATCTCCATTCATGGATATGCCTCCCAGACCATCACTGACCCACCACCAAAAAAGGTCATGCTGAGCAATTTTACAGGCAGCATAACATTCTCCACAGCTTCCCCAGACCCTTTCATGTCTGTCACATGTGCTCAGGCTGAACCTGCTCTCATCTGTGAAAAGCACAGGGCGCCAGTGACAGACCTGTCAATTCTGGTGTTCATTGGCAAATGCCAATCGAGCTCCATGGTGCCGGGCAGTGAGCACAGGGTCCACTAGAGGACGTCAGGCCCTCAGGCCACCCTCGTGAAGTCTGTTTCTGATTGAATGGTCAGAGACATTCACACCAGTGGCCTGCTGGAGATCATTCTGTAGGGCTCTGGGAGTGCTCATCCTGTTCCTCCTTGCACAAAAAGCAGATACTAGTCATGCTAATGGGTTAAGGACCTTCAAGGGGAAAAATGTCGGTGGCCTCCACCTGTAAAACATTCTTGTTTTGGGGTTGTCTCATTGTTGCCCATCTAGTGCACCTGTTAATTTCATTAAAACCAAAGAAGCTGAAACTGATTAACAACCCCCTCTGCTAACTGACCAGATCAATATCCCAGGAGTTTAATTGATTTGATGCTATACTCTGATTAAAAAAGTGTTCATTTAATTTTTGAGTAGTGTATATACCATAGTTTGTAGACACTATGGGGTTTATTTACTAAAGCTGGAGAGTCCAAAATCAGACTCCCTTCTGGATAGAACCAATCAGCTTCTAACCTCAGCTTGTTCAATGAAGCTTTGGCAATGAAACCTGGAAGCGGATTGGTTTCTATGCAGAAGGGAGTCTGATTTTGGACTCTCCAGCTTTAGTAAATAAACCCCTATAACTCTCACAGACTAAATCATGTACACTGATTTGAGTTATTTTTACCAAAGAAATGAAAGGGGCTACATTCTGGCCTAAATTTATGAAGAAAGAATGTTTTTTTTTTTTTTCAAAATTTTCAGCATTTTTATACCACCAAAAGAAAGCCTTGTGTGAAAAAAAATTACATAAATTTAATTTGGCTAGTGTTGCATGACCGAGCAATTGCCAGTTAAAGTGCTTCTAAAGCCTTAAGGTTTGTTTACCTTAATAAATTCTATGCTGCAGAATCCCCCCCCAGCCTCCCCTCATACTTACCCAAGCCTGACCCCGATCCCGCTGTCTCGGTCCTCGCGGGAAAGATTGAGGCAAGTATAACATGTGTATTATTTTAATTTTAACAGAAAGGTTTAATGTCATTTTAAAGTAGCGCAGTGCTGAATGGCAAAAAAAGAAGGTCAAGTGGTTAAGTCATAGAATTACATACCTTCGACCACTTGCTTTCCTTGCTGAGTAGGTCAGCATAGCGGTGTGCCTGGAGCCAGTCTTGTTGGAAAGTATAGCACCACATCAGCTCCCAATAACACAAGTGGTGAATCTGCTTCCATTCATGCTGAGACTTAATGCATTGCTGGAATGTCACCTGGGCCTTTATAAATGAGAAAAAAAAAAATATATTGATAATTATGTTCATCACATATCTTTACCAATAAAACTAAACAAGGACAGTGTAGATCAGGAACAGGGCACTTCACAATTTTAACATTGCTGAAAATGTACATCTTGTCTGCCTGATGGTAACTCTATGCATGTAAAAGTAACAGTTGTGACAGACGGATTACATATAATCAGCATGTTCTGCAGAGATGTAGGTTTCATGGCTTATTTTACGTAGGTTAAGTGCTATATCACTGTATTTTTTAAATGGGTCAATGGCACCTGAGGAGCAGCTCATCTTTGCAGTCCAGAGCATGCCACAGCAAGCTTTATTAATTTAACGTACGAGTACAGAAGTATATTGCCCCATAGTACTCAATCAGAAACCTATTATACAGTATGGATGACTGACTTGCTGTCATCAAGTAGTAGACTATAGAATTCTTCTTTAGAATGCTGTCATTAATAAGAATCTGAATAGGTTTCAACAGACAATTTTATTTCAAATATTCACTTAAACATTTAATTTTACTTTTAAAAAATTATATTTTTTAATCTAAAATTATAAAATTCAAGCTAAGTGCACTGACATTAATTTTAACTTCCATTAATAAATGTGGAGGGAGGTAGGGACTCTTCACTAACCACTTCTGAGAATGCCAACTGCCCAGCTGTCTTTGACTTTAGCATTTTCTGGGGCACTGCCATGTAACAGGCATGCATCAAGTCTACCATGAAAACACACTCTGGATGCATTCTTGCTTACAGTTAACACCACACTCTGTTCAATGTGTTTTGATATATTTTACTGTGTTCCAGTACAGTGCTGTGCAGAAAAAATGCAGCATGTTCTACTTTTTTTTCTGCACTGGAACTGACTGCACTGGTGTGAACTAGGGCCATTGAAATACATAGAAAAAACACTGCATGCATAGAGAAGCAAAAAAAAAAAAAAAAAATGCACTGGACTGCTTCTGGTGTGACGTGGGCCTAAGTCAGAACTGATCGCCATACTCCTTGACTAAAAATAGGAAATCCAGAGTCAGCATGAAACTAGTACTTTATGAAGATAACCATGAACACTCCCAACATTTTTGCTAATTAAAGTTTATTTGAAAATAATATTGCATGCAAAACAAATTGTAACTAGAAAAGCTACAATTTCTGGGGAAATTGTGTGAAGTGTTCTTGCCTCCACCAGTAGTCTACAACTCACACTCTAGCTTTTGTCACTCTGCTGCCTGCTCACACACCTGGGTTCCTATGGCAACTCACTCTACAGCAAGGGCAGAGAAGAGCGGTTAAAAACAAACTGCTCCAACTTGCTCACTTCACTGGCGGTTGCCATTGTCAAAACGGTTGTAGTTTAAAAATTATAAATCCTACAGCAAAGAGCTTTATATTGTGAGAATCACAAGACCCAGACCTACATTTTGATGCATAGTATGTTTCTGAAATATTGAAAATGAAGGCACAGTTGCAGTTTAGAAATTGCCCTTCAAATTTGAGGTGGCTAGAGTGGAGTTTCAATGAATGTCAATGGGCAGCATGAGTTGCAAACAAATGGTCATATTGTGAAAACTATCAGGACTATGGCTTAGCCGTGGACATTTTTAGTGGCAGCAGGGATAGCTGAATGTTTTGAAATGAGATTTGTGTAGGTGGGCTTGAAAATGGAGGGAGTGATGGCAGTTTAGAAGTCATGTCCTGATTTTTCTGCTCACACTCTAGTTTTGAACATTCTGCCATTCATTCCTATGGGACCAATTTCACCACAAAGACGCCGATATTTCGTGAACCATTCGGCAAAACGTTCCACAAAGTAACAGCACACCAATCGTGAAAAATCCACGTTTCGGTATATTACTGTCTATGTAGTGTAAAAACTGTGGGAGGAGTTAGGGTGGTAAATTTGGCTATAATAATAAGAATATATATGTGAGATAACAGTAAGTGGTCTTGCCATGCAAGAACACTTAATAAAAGGTACCAAACAAAAAGAAAATACATTACCTGTTCAAAGTTTCCTTTAAGAACTCCAATTCGAGCAGTATAGAAAAGAATTATAGATCCCTGAGAAGAAAATATTAACATGGCTAAGTTTACTGTCTTTATTATAGTAGCCAAAAGTATTTAGTTACTATATAAATCACATACATTTGGGAACTTCTTGAGGTAGGGTTCAATAAGTGCCTCTGCTTCTTCAAGATTACCTTCACCAGTTCCTAGAAAAAAAATATATATATATTCAGAGACTGCCTGGTGTAGTACAGCCCCAATAAATTTATTACAGGGATTAATCTTTTCACATTTCCTTCTCACCTATTTACCTCAAATATTGCTGCATATCTAAAATAAATAAATAATATAAAAAAAAAAATAATAGATCCTCTCAGGAAGTATAGAGAAGACCATAAACTGTACACTATATTCCACTCAGATATGCCAATAGAATTGAAATTCTGAAATCTCATTTTTCTCAGGGTTGCCCTAAAACCATGCATTTTTTAGCCACCATTAGGTTATTTTTGCTGTGTTCCACTGGGAAAAATTATCTTAACGTGGTTGTAAACCCTTACATATACCCAGTGAAGTGGCTGGCCTCAGGAAGTACAGATATGAAACAAATCCTCCTATGTAAGTTGTACCTGTTTACCTGCAGCCTTCTCTTCTCTACATTTGTTCAAAATATAGAATTTATAGAGCTTGTCTGAGCTTTCAGAAAGAAGGGGTCGGGGAGCTGAAATTGCAGAGTTCATTGAAGAGAGCTGAGAGGTGATTGGCGGAAAGGGACATAACCCCTTTCACAAAGCACAGGAACAGTGCTGGGGTTGTCATTCACATGCTGTGTGCTGGAGGTCCATCCCATCATCTTTTTTCTCTTGGTGTCAGGAAAACTTGTCAGAAGTGATTCATGCTCATGGCAGAGTAATGAGGCTGCAGACAGAAATGACACTTCGTGCTCTTGACAAGTAAACAGTATAGAGGGATATGTTTTGTTTAGGTCTGAGGTTTACAACCACTTTAACTTCCTTTCCAGGAGACAACAGGAAATAAGAAATATTTTCAAAGTGAACAGTATTTCTATCTTATTGAGTTGTTTCGGTAACAGATTTCTAGAAAATATTTTTTTTTTCCTTATGTCTTGCACTGGTGGTGACTCAAAAATGTTGGAGTTTTCCTCACTTGCTGTGTCGATGACAACAGTCATTAGAACAGAGGAGTGAATCTCCTCAATGGGGACAAAGACAGCAATTAAAACCCAACAAATGGTCAAAATCCTTTCCTAAATGAAGCTTTAGCTCGAATACAAAAAATGGCATTAGGGTGCAGCCAAACCATACGAGTGCCAGGGCCCACTGATTTTTGTTTATTTTTTTTGTAAATCACCCCCCCCCCCCCCCCCAGTGCAAAATCCTTTCCCTTATGTAAACTGCAGACAGCAAGTAATGTTGCACTGGGGCTGGGGAAGATTTGCAAACAACCCTGTGTGAGCAGGACCAACAACTCTCCAATCAGCCACACTTGCTCTCCATAGTAAATGTTGCTAATTAGAAAGCTGTATGTTTGCCTCATAGAAGGCATGACAGATTGCTCCTCTCAGAAAGAGTGCAGTGTATGCAGCACACAGCAAAGAAATGTTTTTTTTTTCTGGGGCTAGGGGGCAATTTACAAAGAAAAAAAAAAAAAAAAAAAAAAAAAAAAAAAAAAAGGAGGATTTGACTCTTACTCTTAGGCTTTAATAACTTGCTGGAAAATCACAACAAGACCAATTGTTAGTTGGGTCTGATGTAGTCAGTGCAAGACCATAAACATTAGGAATCATCCAGCCAACTTCAATGCGCCTACAGATTTTCAAAAGCATTCAGATGTACAGGCACATCGATGGGGCCACGGGAAACCATAGCATTTGAAAAACATTTTCTAACCTTTTTCACCTCAGAAATTGGTATATGGTCACGGGCAGGAACATACCATTGTTCCCTTGCTGAAAGCAACTGGAGTGACAACAGTCTCTTAAGTCTGTAGGTATATTTATCCAACACCAGCTAGCCAGACTGAATTTTAATTACATTTGAAAGGAAACAGTGACAGGTAAATGTGTAGTTAAAATGACCCTGGGGTTGTTTTATTACAAATAGAACAAGAAAAAGAACAAAGAAAAAGTAGGACTGCAGCCAATTTCCTTGGTTCATTATTTTCTTGGTATGAGCAACACACTTTTTGAGACTCCCAAAAACAAAAGGAAAATTTGAAATATACATGCACTTATTCCATTTAATTAGAGAACGGCTTAGTCTTCACCTGGATCAGCACTAGAAGCCAATAGTTTGGTATTAAGTCCCATTACTATGAAAACAGATGGCCTGCCAAGGCAGGGATATTAAATAGAAAGTAAAGTGTATTTTCAGCAAGTACATATTTAGTTATACTCTATGCAAGCCTTTTTAGCCCTGGGGTGCCTTCAGGATTCTTCAAGGGTGTCTTGGCAAAATACCCAAAAATATTATACAAGCCAGCAGGTGGATGACGTCTGCCTTTTAGTTACACAAAGCCACAGGTTTTCACTATGCATCATTACAACTTTCTAGCCACTGAAGACAAAAAAGCAATGATGTCAGCTGGTAAGGATGACGTTGGTCACCTGCACAGCATCCATGCTTGCTCTCCCTGCCCCTCTCCATCAGTACTGGGGTCACATTAGCTGAATGAGTGAGAGAAACTGAGGGAGAAGAGAAACAATGGAATACTAGTCAGTACCAGTGTGCAAATGTGTACAGTGCATCCAAAAAGTATTCACAGTGATTAACTTTTGCTACATTTTGTTATGTTACAGCCTTATTCCAAAATGGATTAAGTTCATTTTTTTCCTCAACATTCTACAAACAATACCCCATAATGACAACGTGAAAGAAGTTTGTTTTGAAATCTTAGCAATTTATTAAAAACAAAACAAAAAAAAAAAAACATGTACATAAGTATTCACAGCCTTTGTTCAATACTTTGTTGAAGCACATTTAGCACCAATTACAGCCTCAAGTCGTTTTGAGAGCATGATGCTACAAGCTTGGCAAACCTATTTTTGGGCAATTTCTCCCATTCTTCTTTGCAGCACCTCTCAAGCTCCATCAGGTTGGATGGGGAGTGTCGGTGCACAGCCATTTTCAGTTCTCTCCAGAGACATTCAATCGGTTCACGTCTGGGCCACTCCAGGACATTCACAGAGTTGGCCCGTAGCCAATTCTTTGTTATGTGGGTTGTGTACTTAGTTCATCTTTCAACAGGACAAGGACCCTGTCGCCCCAGTGTAAGGTCCAGAGCGCTCTGGAACAGGTTTTCATCAAGGATATCTCTGTACATTGCTGCATTCATCTTTCCTTCAATCCCGACTAGTCTCACAGTTTCTGCCACTGAAAAACATCCCCACAGCATGATGCTGCCACCACCATGCTTCACTGTAGGGATGGTATTGGCAAGGTGGTGAGCAGTGCCTGCTTTCCTCCAGACATGACACTTGGCATTCAGGCCAAAGAGTTCAATCTTTGTTTCAACAGACCAGAGAATTTTGTTTCTCATGGTTGGAGAGTCCCTCAGGTGCCTTTTGGCAAACTCCAGGTGGGCTGCCATTTGCCTTTTACTAAGGAGTGGCTTCCGTCTGGCCACTCTTCCATACAGGCCTGATTGTTGGAGTGCTGCAAAGATGGATGTTCTTCTGGAAGGTTCTCCTCTCTCCACAGAGAAACGCTAGTCACTCTGAAAGAGCTCCATCGGGTGCTTGGTTATCTCCCTGGCTAAGGCCCTTCTCCCTCGATTGCTCAATTTGGCCAGGCAGCCCGCTCTAGGAAGATTCCTGGTGGTTCCAAACTTCTTCCATTTACGGATGATAGAGGCCTTTGTGCTCACTGGGACCTTCAATGCTGCAGAAAATTTTCTGTATCCTTCCCCAGATCTGTGCCTTGATACAATCCTGTGTCGGAGGTCTGCGAACAATTCCTTAGACTTCATGGCTTGGTTTGTGCTCTAACATGCACGGTTAACTGTGGGACCTTATACAGACAGGTTTGTGCCTTTCCTAATCATGTCCAATCAACTGAATTTCTCACAAGTGGACTCCAATCAAGCTGTGGAAACATCTCAAGGATGATCAGTGGGAACAGGATGCACCAGAGCTCAATTTTGAGTGTCACTGCAAAGGCAGTGAATACTTCCGTAACAATTATGCGCAATAGAGACATGGAAGCAGTACGCGACAGCCATCTTGTTAAAGTCTCAGCCATTTTGTTTTTCCTGTACAATCATCTTTCTCCCCTCTCTCTCTTGAAATGGAATTTGTAGCTGGAAGTTGTAACAGACTTCAAAAGAGCCTCTTATCATAAATAAAATAGAAATAGAGGTCAGCTTCAGAGGTGTAAACCACTAATTAGGCTTGACAGGATGTCTATGCTGCAAAGACACTTTCCTCTGCCCTATCGTAAAACAATAACTCAGTCAGCCATCACACATGACCTGTTAGGCCATTAGAGCTTAGGAATGCAGAGCGTGCCATAAAATGTCTATTTCACATGTAACCATTTCACATACAGTTTATAACATCCAACATGAACTGGCCTCATTAATATTAGGTATATATTTGGATAGATCATTTCATGCCAAGCCAAACAAGGTCCTACATGACTATGTTAGCACATAGGGAAGGGAAGAAAGTAGTCTCTTCCCTCCTGGGTGACAAAAGTACGCTGTGTTTGGTATCCCTGGGTTTGAAATTTAATTCTGAATATTAATCTGCCAGTTGCTAGAATACCACCTGCACATACTGGAAGTTATTGTTGGTATGAAATTGTAGTTAGAACTTGGTCATAAACTTGATGACCTCCTAGAACCCATCCCCTAAACCGAGTGACTGGTCAGTTGTTCTCAGGCGACACCCCTTTAATATCATAAAAAAGGACTGACAGACCTGGTGAAGGGGAGCTCTCGTTTAACATCAATCAAGAAACATCTAATGGACTTGAGAGCCAAGGTAACATGTTGTGCTCGGACAATTGGACTCTGCTAAACCAGGACTTTGCAAGTAATCTGCCTTCTTATCTCTTTTCTTTTATTTCTCTGTTGCATTCATGTTCTCTTTATGTCTGTGTAACATCTTTTTCTGTAAATATTTTAATTGCACCATTTTGACCTTTTTAGTAATAAACCATATTTTGAAAAGTGTTGAAACGGTCTCTAAAGCTTTTAATGCAACCTAAAGAATCCTTGTCTCTTAAAAGAGTGCTACTGTATGTAATAATCCTCTGAATATACCTGTCTGTGGTGACAGTGAGTGTTGCAGACACTTATACTAATATAGTGTAATTGCTAGGATTTGTGAGTTTCCTCCTCCTCTGTAAAAAGGCAGTGGTGGCAGTGTGAATGGTTAATTGCGTAATTAACCTGACCCAGTAACAATCGCTCTCAGGCTGCTGCCACATAGATTGTGGTTCCGCGAGCTGGAAAAACTTTGTGCAGGGTGCAGCTGAGAGTGACATTGTACCGCAAATGACAGCGTGCTGTGAGATTGGCTGGTCCTTTGTCACGGGTTGGTGAGATAGGCAGGGGTTGGGCACTGCATTCTGTCACAATGTACAAGTGTTTTTTTTTTTTTTATTGTAACGATTTCAAAACTAGCTTCTTTCATGATGTCATTATGGGGTATGGCTTGTAGAATGTTGAGGAAAAAATGAATTTAATCCATTTTGGAATAAGGCTGTAACATAATAAAAATGTGGCAAAAGTTAATCACTGCGAATACTTTCTGGATGCACTGTATTTGCTTTGAAAGAATAAATCATGTTTCATGTTGGGTGTCCCACATGAGCAATGTTGCTGGGTCCTGTAAAATGATTAGTTTAGTTTTTTACCTTTTGTAATGGGTGCCCCAAGATTGTAAAGAATTTTAAAAGGATTCCTTGACTGAAAAAAGGTTGAGAAATACTGCTCTATACATTATAGGTATTGCTGCACTGTTTACCTGTCTCTAATCCTGATGCACAGCATTTGTTGTGCTTTTTGAAGACACTCTACATTTAGTAAAAAAGAAATAATGCTCAAGGCAACAATATTTTACATAGTCTTCCTACTAGAGGTAGCGCTATATACAATAAGAATGCAATCACTCAGCTTTCCTGCTTAAAAAGTGGCAAAATAAAATATGGTTTTCAGTGGTTTAGCAGACTCAGACTTGTATAGTGAACAAATCGTAGTAATGCATAACTCCAGTATAATAGCAGTGCAAACCAGAAAAAAATATCTGTACAATTTGTTTTTGTTTCCAACAATCATTGTTCATGGATATCAATGAACATTACACATTCCCTTTAGGTACGTTTATTTATATTTTAAATGCTCTTTTCTGTGGTAAAATAAAGAAGAAGCTTCAGCCTGGGTTCACATATATGCGGTGCAGTATATAATGTGATTTGCACAGGAACCGCACTGTATTCCTGTGCAAATCACATGTGATTTGTGTGCGGTGCGATTGGAGCCATACATTTTGTATAGCTGGAATCGCACCGCACCAAAAAGGTGCAGGTTCTGCACATCACACCGCGTTTTATGGACCGCTTTCGGGGTGTTAACTTAACATACACACGTGCAGCAGTTCGCATGAATGGGGTGCGATTCTGATGCGGTGTGGAATTTGCACACAAAACACTGCAAATTCCACACATCAGTGCAAACCAGGTATAAGTTTTAAAAAAAAGTAAAATGTGTAAAATGCAAAACATATTATTGGACAAAAGTTAATCACAAGCAATCTTAAAATTGACAGAAAAAAAATGAAGCTTTAGAAAAATGCACTGTTTTACAAAGAGCCCCTAAGAAAAATCAAATTAAACTTCCCTGCAAATACACAAAATACAGCATTATTTTATACTTTAATTACAGAACTTTACATTTTCAAAACGTCACATATACACTTACAATAAAATAAAGATGCAAGGAAAACAAACAGTCTAAAGCTTAGTAAAAAAAAAAAAAACAAAAGTGATAGTCTGTGCACGCTTACCAAGTATTAATGATACATAAGTATGATAAAATAGAAGAGTTAGGACACAAAGGATTGCCCTGAGACTCGTTCCAGAGGCTCCGTCCCGTAGTTGTTGAAGGCCCAGCTCCTGTCACACGGAAAGACACTGTTATTATTGTTTGCGTACACACTTATAAATTGGGAAAACAGCTAACAGATTCCCTCATTTAGACTGATTACATATGAAGATCTTAGATCAGCTTTAGCAGAGCAGTAACTCTCAGAGAACCTAGTTTGCTGGTCAGGTGATGCCTCCATGTTGAATTGTGCATGCTTATGAGCTTAAAAGGTGGAGCATACGCTAAATAAGGGCGCAAGAGCTCCACATACATTCCATTGGTAATAGTAGCAGAAGAGTGTGGGTGACCTCTACTCTACTTTTCTGGATGCTTTGTTTTGATTACAGGTACAGATTATTCATTTCGTTTATAATGCTATGTTGCATTTAAATAAAAATACAAATCAATAGGGTTTTATGATTCCATTTAAATCCTCAATCCATCACTGCCCCACCTTTCCACCCGGTCCAATCAGAGAATACCTTGCATTCACTGAAAAAAATACAAGGAATTCTGTGAATGGTGGCAGTGCCAAACAAATACTCCCCTGTGGTTACTATGCAGAAGTGAAGTTGCTTGGTACAGCCCCAAAAAGATTGCTGCTACCACTATAGTTGCACTGACTACTACAATGGTTTGCACCTTCCACAGCAATCTCTCAGGTATGAGACATGCATACTTACATAGGTGTAAACTTAGTCCAAGTTAGGTCCATATTGCCCAAGTGTGCAGTAAAAACCATACCTAAAGTTTAGCTTTAATTCTAAAAAAATTCTCTAATTGTATAGCACGATTGATTTTGACATCAAATTTCTATTTAGATTTAGTCATGGTCTTTTGACTAAAATGCCATTTTAGTTTTTGTTGTATTTAGTTTTAGTTACCTGAATTGTTTTAGTTGTATTTTAGTCCACTAAATTCTCCAGTACATTTTAGTCCACTAAAATCTCCAGTACTCTATCGGCTGAGAGATGCAGGCTCCCTCTATCTGCCTGCTGCCTGGGAGTTCTGGAACAATGCCCTGCAAACCATAGAAGAGGAGCTCCTCCATCAGATGTGTGTGTCTGGATGTGGCAAGGCGAGTGTTTCCTTTCCCAGCAAGGTAGCATTGCTTAGCACTGTGTAAAATAACAGCCTCCCCAGACCATCCTGTTTTCTGCCCTGTGCACTCCCTCACTCCCATTTAACTTCCCTCATCTCCACATGTAGCCTAGCATTACAGCCAATAGAGTTTACAGGGTTTTTTTTTGTTTTATTTTATATTTTAAAGTTGCACTCCTGTTTATAAATAAAAGCAAGTTTAATAAACAAACAAATCATGCTTTTTGACAAAGACATTCTATATCAAAGACTAAATCTGTGTATGAAGTGCATGTTCAAATCTCAATACCATAAATAACATAACATGTTATTAGATTTTTACTCCAGGAGTATACGAGTTTGGAAATTCTAGAGAAATGCTTACAAAATGCATTACAATTTAACTAAACCTATTAGATTTTAATTGACTAAAATGCACTGGAGATTTTAGTCAACGTACTGAAAATTGGAATTGATTTTCATCATTGTTTTCGCCAACTGACTTCATTATAATTTTATTTTAGTTTTCATCAATGAAAACATGCAGCTGACGAAAATATTTTTGTCGATGAAATTAACACAGCTATATAGCAAATTTGATAAAAAACTAAGATTAAAATTGGGTACCTGACTCCTTTGCACATGAACACAAACAGCTCTATCTTTAGAAAAAACAAATAATAGGATTCAGCAAAAAATCCCTGCAATGTACATAGGTCGCCCAAATGTTTTTTTCTTAACAAAAGTGGAGCTACTCTTTAAAATGATAAGTTTACCTTTGGTAACATGTTATGGGTTCCACCCATTTGTAGGGTGAAACAGGTATCATATGTTCCTGATCCTGCAGTCACTGCCCAGTTCCCCGTACTAGTTGTCAGTTTTCAAAAACCCACATGGCCACGTCATCCATTCACAGTGTTCTGTATAATGAATGGACTACAAATCCCGAAAGCCTTAGCGGCTTTCAGCTTCTAGTCATCAATGAACTACCAAGGCGCTGTTAGCACTGTGGTAGTTCATTGAATCTTCTTGTCAGCAAGTATTGGCTTGCCCATATGGGATGTAGGAGCAAGCAGATATATGGACAGTGTGCAGGAGACCTGCATGGCACCAGCAATCTACTGATTGCTGGTACAATGCTTTACAGGCTCCCAAACACAAAACATAATAAATGCACATTTTTTTACATGCAAAAAATGTGCATTTAGTACTTTTGGGGAAAGGAGAACTTATTCTTTAAAACACATGCACCAGGAAGATACACTTGCAGTAAAGGTTTGGAGAATGTCAAATTCACGGCTTTATAAATATACCCCCTTGGTTTTATTTTATGTGTCATGAAATATCAGAATGCATATTATGACACCTTTTGTTTGCTGGTTTGCAGCACTACAAGCTGGAATGCTCTTCTTAAGCACACCATACCCAAACCAGCTTAATGTTCTGAACTTTACCACACTACATCATTAGGCAAGAGACATGCCAATTATTACAATTCAACAAGGTTATATACAATTTCACTCTAGCTAGCAAAGAATCTAAAAAGTTATCAGCCACTATATTAGTGATTTCTATTAAAAGGTACAAATCACAGAAAGCCTGCAGAACGTAAAACAGATTCCCCACATCTTATCTAAATATTGCTGCACTTTAAATACTACACTGCAGAATGTGGATACAAATGTCGCCAGTATGTTAAAGGTCATGCAGCAGTATATTTATTATAGGTGCCCTGTAATTATATATATGCATCTCATAATATCTCATGCAGCACAGTAATCTGTACCTTTTAAAAATATGGTAAACTATTACAAATCCCAAAAAATTACCCTGTTTCCAGAAAATCCAATGAACTCTAACAGCCTGAGTATCCTTGAAGGTAAAAGAGAAAGCATCTGTGGAAAAAATTAAAGGGTCACAAACGTGAAACAGAGACATGCACCATTCAATGCAAAGATGCTAATCTCCAGCCATTAAATATTTAAAAAATAATAAATTGCAACTGAACATTTACACACTAGACCATAAATTCGCCCCACTAGTTTAAATACATGACTGACAGTTAAAGTGGACCTGTCGGTGACTTTACAAGCCTGCATGAATAAATTCATGATGAAACAATATATAGCAATGGTATAATTTTCGAGGACATTATTATTAAAAATTCATCCTTGAGCGACAGTACACTTATTTCATTGCTGTCGCATGATAGATCAGCATATATCTTCTACCTTGGCAGTGCAGTTGGTGGCTTCCAATCCTTGACTGGTATCAATGCACAAAGTAAGTGTCCAAGAAAACAGTGGTTTATTAAAGCGGAACTAAACCCATCAAAAAGCAGTTACATTCCCTGAATGCTGACTGCCACATTTTCTTGTGCACTTAATCAAACTGTCAAACAGTCAATGGTGGGCATCATAACTGATCACGTGTGCAGCATGATGGCAGTTGCAGATCAAAAAGAGGCTAAGGCGACATCTTCCTTGGCTGAAAAGGAGAGGAGGGTTTAGTTCCAATTTAAACTGCCGAAGATAGTGGGGGAGGAGCCTGAACATGGCGGCTGAGGAGAGCTCGAGGTAGTAGCTCTCCGCCAGGCTCCGCATCCTGACCTCCCTAAGGGCCCTCCTGATGGTGTAATTGTGGGGTGAGACTCACTGGCGTGCGGAAGGCAGAGTGAGCAGAGAACCGGGGACGTGAGAGGCTGCGAGGTGGAGACGGAGATCGATTTCCCCGGGGCTGCACGGGACGCCGAGCCGAGTTGCTGGGAGACTAGGTGACACGGCGGGACCACGTGGTCCACCGCGGAGGAGCACTGGGAGGAAAAGAAGCCGGCCGGCTTCCCGAGAAGAGAAGGAGGTGCTGGTCTACTCCTGACTTCATTCCCCGGCTTGCGGTCTGGTTTGAAATGGACCCATGAGACCCAACTTGCTCTCCATGAAAGGACCCCTAATAATACGGGGATTTAAAAGAGAAGAGTAAGAGACCCAGAGGAATCCCCCTAAAGACTGATTTACTGAGGAAAGATCTACACTTGAAGCCCTGAGCCGCCTCGCAGAAAAGGAAGAAAGAGGAGGGTGAGTGAGAGCGGCCGGGGCTTGCTGTGTGTTAACCGTTATACTGTATTGTATAGAGGAGTAAAGGGTGAAGGAGAGGAGGGGGGGGATTCCCAAGGGTCATGAAGAAGTGTAGAAGAGAAGAGGATTAAGAGAATTTAGAAAAGGAAAAAGTAAAATGGACAAATAGTAAGGCAAGGCTGGGACACTAATATAGACACTTAATTTTACTTAGCCTGAGTATATAGAAGAGAATAAGACTTATAGAGGATATGAAAAATAAAGGAGCTAAAGGAAGTGGGCTCAAAGGGTCCCACACTGGTACAATCAAAAAATACACTTCCCGGGGAAATGTTACCCCAGAAAGGTCCCAAGGTGGCAGCAAAAAAATGAAATGGAAACTAGCCTGGGAAATAGCCCTAGATCATCATTGGGCATGAATAGTAGCTGTAGTCAACAAATAGCAGGTATTATGGAGAAGAAAGAATCTGAAAGTGAACTACATGTACCGAATAAAAAAGATGACAGAAATGTTTAAAAGCTTGGAGAAAACAAATAAAGCAAGAAATGGCAACGATTCGGAATGATTTGGGGCAGCTGCTATTGAGAGTGGAAGAAACGAAGGAGAAAGTTAAAAATCAGGCCCAAACCATAGCCGATTTAGAAAAGAAGATAACGAATATGAGGAAAGTCCCGAAAAAATTGCTTTATAGGATAGAGGTACAAGAGACTAGAGATAGGAGGAGTAATCTTAGGATACAAGGAATTCCAGAGACTGTAAAAGGGGAAACATTGCAAGAAGTAGTATGCAGAATTTTTAACTCCATAATTGACAGACCTGAACTAGACTTGATCAAACTGGACAGAGTTTTCAGAATAGGAAAGCTCCAACAGGGTATTGGGAAGGAAAGACGAGAGATACAGTTGCCCAATTGCAAAAGTATGGTGATAAAGATGAGATTTGGAGGAAGATCAAAGGAAGAACAACGATTAAGTATGGAGAAATGGATATCCAGATTTTTGCAGACTTAACACCAGAGACCTTGTGGAGAAGGAGATCCCTGAAACCCCTGTTGGAGCAGATGAGAAAGCAGAATGTGCATTATAGATGGGTGACCCCAGCGTGCCTAATTGGATGGAGAAATTAAGTTACAGCTTATTTGAGATTTCCGGAGGACTTGGGAGACTTCTGTGATAGACTGGATTTGCAAAGAATGGAGATAGCTGGGTGGGAAGAAGAGGATGGAAAAATAGGAGCTATAAGAAAAGAGGACTGGCAACTGGTTAGAGGGGGGGAGGGGGGGAGAGAGGAGAGAGAGAATTGATTTTCTTTTTTTTTTGTGTTTCTCTTCCTCCCCTTCCCCCCTTCCGATACCCCCTCAAAATTTCCGTTCTAAGGGGTCAGTGGAAATTTACTGAGTCAATTTGATAGAGAAAGGGTAATTGGGGAGGTTGAAGGAAGGGAGAGCCGTTTATGGGCGGAGGTAAACCCCAAAGTTTCAAATCAAAGGTGGGAATAGGCCCACAAATGATTAGTAGGCATTTTACATGCCTAAAAGTGGGAGGGGAAAAAAAAAAACGGGAGTGGGATGGGTGGGGGGGGGCAGCTGATGGATGGGAGGAGGGGTGAGATGGGGAGCTGGAAGGGAGGTGGTGTGGGTGGGGTTTTAGGGACAACACTCTGCAGGATAGAAGGAGGTATAAAAGTAGAGGTACAAGAAGTATGGAAGATTTACGGTTTAAATCATATAATGTAAATGGGTTGAATTGTCCTGGGAAAAGATTTAAGCTTTTCAAAGAGTTGCAACATAGAGAATCTTCGGTGGTTTTTTTGCAGGAGACACATCTTGAGATTAAGTCAAATATTAAATTGAATACTAGAAATTACCCAACATGGTTTTATGCAGATTCCCCAATTAAGAGAGCTAAGGGAGTAGCAATAGGATTTGCAAAAAACATAAGGTTGGAGATAGAGGAGAGAGAAATGGATCCTGAGGGGAGATTTTTGTTTTTGAAAGGTAGATTGCAAGAGATGGAATGTACAATTGCGAATATATATTGCCCAAATAAGAGACCTGAGTCATATCTGAAAGGTGTTTTGAGAAAACCGATGGCCTTTAAAAAGGGAAGCTTGATAGTGGCAGGGGACTTGAATTTCTGTATGGATCCACAAATGGATACAACCTCTTCTGTGCAGCGAGAGGGAGGTAGGTCTCTGAGAACTTTAAAGAAGGTGATGCATGAGTGCCAACTGGTGGATATTTGGAGAATACATAGAAAAGAGAGAGACTATACCTTCTTCTCTAATGCACACGAGATGTACTCGAGATTGGATTATATATTGGTTGATTATCAACTTATAGAGATGGTGATTAAAGTTGAAATAGAGGCAATGTCTCTCTCAGACCATGCCCCTGTTACATTGAAATTAGGGTGGGGGAGGCGGTCGACAGGTGGTATAGGATGGAAGTTGAATGAGGCTCTTCTCCTGGATCAGGAGATTGATCAGAAGATTAGAGAAGAAATCAAAAGATTTTTTCAGGAGAATGAGACAGAGGAAGTGTCTGAGGCTACAGTATGGGAGTCCCATAAGGCCTACATAAGAGGCATATTGATCACGTCCAGGGCAAAAAAAAAAAAAAAAGGAAAGAAGAGAGAAACTTACTGGATTGTTAAAAGAAATATCTGACCTGGAGCAGATACATAAAAATAGAACAAAAGAGATAAGACAGAAGGTAATAAAAAAGAAAGAAGAACTAGAGATATTGATGGAGGAGAGGAGAAGAGTTTTTAATAGAGTGGCAATTGAGAGGTATAGATGGGGAGATAGACCAGGAAAATATTTAATGAGAGCCTTGAGGAAAAAGAAAAACAGGAATTATATAGAAAAAATAAGAAACCCCAAGGGAGAAAACGGTTTATTCTACTAAAGAGATAGTAGAAGGATGCAAGGTGTTTAAGGAATATTATGGTAAGCTGTATAATATATTACTGCCCAGGATTCAGTAAATAAAAGTGGAAATGTGAGTAGACAAAAAAGAAGGGTATGTTTAAAAAACGCAGGACTACCGAAGTTAAGTGAAGATCAACTGAATTCCCTTGATTTAGAAATTACACAGGAGGGTATAAAAATAGCATTAAAAAGTAACATGACGGGTAAAAGCCCAGGCCCAGATGGTTATACTGTGAAGTACTATAAAAAATATAGTGAATTGTTAATACCTAAATTGAAGAAATATATGAACGCCCTGGGTGGGGAGATGGAGATGAGGCGGGAATCTTTACAGGTCCATGTGGTGCTTATTCAAAAGGAAGGGAAGAATGCTTCCCAGTGCTCTAGCTATAGACCAATCTCACTCTCACTTTTGAACATAGACACTAAGTTATATGCAAAGGTTCTAGCAAATAGGTTGAAAGATTTAATGCCAGAATGGATCCAGGGGGACCAGGTGGGATTTGTACCAGGGAGGGAGGGTAGAGACAATGGGTTGAGAACTTATCCAGAAAGCTAGGAAAGGGAAAACACCAGTGGTGGTGGTGCTTTCGATCGATGCTGAAAAGGCATTCAATAGAGTATATTGGAGCTTTATGATGGACACTCTGGAGACTCTAGGATTGGGAGTTAGAATGAGAGAGCGGATAGGAAAATTGTATAGAGAGCCCTCCTCGGTTATTGTGGTTAACGGAGAGAGGTCAGAACCTATTGGGATGTGAAATGGAACTAGACAGGGATGCCCACTGTCCCCACTGTTGTATGTATTATCATTGGAACCTTTACTGGCAACAAGTAGGAAAAATACCGACATAAAAGGAATACAGATAGGAGGAATTGAACATAAAGTGGCAGCCTTTGTGGATGACCTGTTGTTCTATGTGGGAAATCCTAGGATAACACTCTGAAATTTAATGAAGAGCTTAAAGGATTATGGGGATCTATCAAATTTGAAAATCAACCCAACAAAAACTGAGATCTTAAATGTAAATCTTCCAAATAGTGAAAAAGAAAAGATACAAAAAGAATTCCCTTTTACATGGAAAAATAGAGAGATAAAATATCTAGGGGTTAAACTTACTGCTTCATATACGAACTTGTATAAATCAAATTATATCTCACTTGTAAATGAGATTAAGGGGGAATTAAAGAAATTGGGAGGAGGTAACCCGTCTTGGATAGGGCGCATAAACCTGAAAAAAATGGTAATTGTACCCAAAATCCTGTATAAATTCCAGATGATCCCAATTAAACTTCCGGAGGTTTTTTTCAAGGTAATTAAAAAGATGTTAAGATATATATGGAAAAATAAAAAACCTAGAATATCTTATGATTTGTTGAGTAGAAATAAAGAGAAGGGAGGATTGGGAGTGCCAGATTTTAAGAGGTATTATAGAGCAGTAGTCCTAGCAAGAATTTATGACTGGACACACAATCCAGAGGGGAAAAGGTGGGTCAAGATTGAAAATGAATTAAGCAGAGTTAACTTGAGTAAAACCATATGGGTACCAGCACAATATAGAGGATTAAAAGATACCACGAGTGTTTATTCATTAAATGTTTTAAAGGTTTGGGATAAACTGCACAAGCTTATGAAATGGGATTTTAATTTGCAATTAATGTCACTAAGGAACACGGAGTATTTCCCTCCAGGTAGGGAGAAGAGCACAGGAAAATGGTTTAAAAAGGAGGATTTTCAACTGAGGGATATTATGGAAGGGCAGGAATTGAAAACGCTTAAGGACTTGAAAAAGGACAAAAGGGAACTTTTCATTAAGATAGACGAGTGAAAATATCACCAATTAAAACACTTTGTCGGGAATTTTCTGAAACCTTTGAGATTGAGAAAGGATTGGAATCACGTGGAGATGGGAAAAGGGGCACAGCAAAGTTTATAAGATTCTCACTGAGTTAGACACACACACACACAAAGCCAATGTACATAGTAAAATGGGAAAGGGATTTGGGAATAGATATAGATGAAGACAAACAAAGGAAAATATATAGACTAACGCACGAGAATATAAGCATGAGAGAGGTAGAGGTAAATTATAAGTGTTTAACAAGATGGCACATTGCACCAAATGCTGAACACAAGATGTATGGGGAGAATACACCAGAGTGTTGGCGGGGGGGGGGTATGGAAAGATAGATACGTTCTATCACATATGGTGGGAGTGCCCAAAGATTCAAGGTTTTTGGGAGACAATGGTCCATTTAATTGGGATAATCTCTGGGACAAAGATAGGATTGGATCCAGAGTTGTGTCTATTACATAGTACAGAGTTATCAGTGAATAAATACAAGGATTCGGGTATATGGTACTATCTGAATGCGGCAAAGGGTCTGATACCTAAGTTTTGGCATAGCTCAGAAGTGCCGAGAAAAGAGGATTGGGTATAAAGAGTGAACCAGATATGTAGGATGGAGAAACTGTATTATATGCAAGAAGACAAGATGGGGTTATAGTACAGGAGGTGGGGAAAATGGGAAGATTTTGTGTCCAAGGTGAAATATATGAAGTAGTAGAGTGGGATATGTGAAAGTATACCTTACTTAGGAAAAGATGTTATAGAGAAATGCAGAGTGGGTGGTTTTACTTGCGGCGGGGGGTTGGTTCTTCAGGGTGGGTGGGGGTGTTAGATAGGGGGGTGGGGGAGAAGTAATGGGAATAAAGATAGAAAGGGATATAATTAATGGTTTGGATATAACTGACGGTTTTGTATGTTATATGAGAGTAATGATGAAATATATATTTTAAATGGAAAATGAATAAATATTTAAAATAAAAAATAAACTGCCGAAGATGCGCAAACAGTCAATAAAATGAATACCTTGACAGTTTTGCACTTGATAGTATACTGTAAGTACTTTTGTGTCTCAAGCTGTTAACTAACCTACAATCGAGCACATGAGCAGCATGGTTCCATTTTTAGTTGATAATTATCTTGGGAGCCAATGACTTAGCCCAGACAGATATCAATCTGCTGGAGGCAGGAGGAAGCATTTGCTCAAGCTTCTCAAACCCCAGAATCTCAATACAAGACGTAGATGCTAATATTAGTGAACACCTGAACAAAGATTTCTGTTTCTAGAAAGAGGAGCAAACAAAGGCAATGTCTTGGTTACTACTGCGATCTTAGAGTTAATATTTACTTGTAGGTGGTACTTATTACTTGGCATGTACACACCTAACAAAGAAATGCGTACTGCTAGTATCACTTCAAAAGAATTTTACTTTTGGTACAAATTGTCCTTTATGCACAATCATTCCCTTCATCTCCCTTCCAGAGTGCAGGCTACCTAGTCCGATATTTAACACTGCTCCCATTCCAGTGATCTTCACTGTATAGCTCGTCCTCAGGAGTAGGCTGCCCATTTTGAAGAAAGTGTCCTTTCTAGGTCCTCTCCATCCATACTCAAGGCAGCCTCCAGTAGTCCTGAAGAGTATGGGATCAATAGGGTTGCAGTGTACGTGTGCAGGATGAAAAGGAACCATCAATGGCACTTTCTATACAAAATCTGTGCTGTTCCTCTGCTAGAATAGGAGCAGAGGCAAGTATTAGAATAGGTAAACCACACTCAGGAGAGTTGGGGGTATACCCAATAACAGGCTGCCCCACAAAATCTGCTCAAACATCATTGGTGAGCCAAAACAAAACAAAAGGAAGAAGCTGGTCACTAATATGCTATTGCTAAATAGTGACATGGTATGCAGAGTCCAGTCAGGCAAAACCTGTAGGAAAGGGGCAATTGAAGAAAAATTCATGGCCATTTAGTAAGTTTGTTTGCTTAAATACATTTATTTAGCATTAGCAGTTTGTTAAGAGGAAGAAGGGGTAGGAACGCTTTAAAGGACAACTTGTATGAAAAGGTACAATTGTTTTTTTAGGCATTGTTGGCTCAACTAGGTATCCTGCCACTTATGTATCTGCTTTGAAAATAAAAAGCCAGAGACAGCAGCTAAGGTAGAACAATATTATGCAGTTCTTGAACAACCAATTTTGCCCCTATGAATTTTGAAAGAATTGCTTTAATCCCATTCAGTCTTCCAGCTGTGCACATATGAACATATAAAACACTGAGTTTTTTCCCGTATAAACTTTAACGAAACTTTGCCAATAACTCTCTGTAGATAAACTCTTACCAGATTAAAGGCTCCTATGCCCAGTTTAACACCTCCTTCAAACTGATGGTAAGTGTCACTGGAGTTTTTGTCTTGGGCCATTCCTGAAAGAACTTGATGGCATTCTCTTAAATTAAAAAAATAACATTTATTTCTTTGCAACTGAAAAACCCAAAATGCAAAGAACAGTCAACAATGCAAGAGAGAAAAATGTTATAAATAATGTAATGAAACATACTTGTAGATTTGGTAACTTGTCCTGATTTTGAGTCCACCTTTGATAAAATTGATCATGTTTTCATCCTGTGTTTTAAAAAATAAATAAATAATAAAAAAAAATTGCTATACCCGATATCATCACAGTATTTTAGTATGTCATAACATCATTCCTTTCAAGTAAAAACATCAGCTAAACCTATAGTTACTTGTGGTCCAAAAGGGCTAAAGTAAAGATTGCAGGGACATTAAATAGAGATGCTCCTCAGAGCAACCAATCAGATTCTGACAATTTTTTGAAGCTAGGTTTAGAAAATAGCATATCACTGGTTGTCACCAGTGAAATTTACATTTGTTATAACAGTTACACGAAAAACGCATGTCCAAGAAATTCAACATTCCTTGCAGATTTGATTCAAAGGAAAGTAATAATTTAGATGGAAAAATAGATTAGTTAGCCAAGGTGCCAAACATATACTTCCTTTAAACATAAGGCCTTCTTAGACATCCTTTGAGGACAATGCCAACACTTAATTAAGGAAAGCCATTTATAAAAGGCCTTATTGATAATTTCCCAGACTTCCTAAAGCCTCCCATTTGTTCCTGACAAACAAAAAATGCATTTATAAAATGGCAATTTGTTCCCACATAAATATTCATCTCTTCCTCTGAAAGTAAAGAGGAAATAATTACTATCAGATAAGCTAGCCCTATACATTACAGATAAAAGCAAAATTCCACTGCAAAACAAGTTTTTTTTCTAAAAGTGGTTTACTCAAATATGTACACTGATCGACTGAGCAAATTCTTATAGCTATGGAGCTGGGAGTGAAAGAACAGGAGTTCATCTGGCAATGGGATGTTTGTAATGTCCAAACATATAGCAATCATCCAGCCCTGCTGCCGGAAACCTGTCAAACTTTATGAGAGGCTGACAGTTGCTGTGGCTGGATGGGGCTGGGTAGTGCACTCAGCAGTACTTCAGTTTAAAGCAGTATGAACTAAGGGATAAATGCCTGGAGTGCAGACTATTTGGAACTGGGCAGTCCAGTTTTTATTTACAGATTTGTTTAAAATTTTATGTAGACATGGAGCCATGGCCACATAAGGTCACTGTATAATTTTCCTAACCTTTATGTGCCCAGAAGTTTAAAAACCAGATCATTAAAGCTGACCTCCAGCTTTTACTGAAGTTTAAATAGTTCATACTATTACCATCACTACTAGATGAGCCCACTGTGTACGCTAATATGAACTGAAGCATCGGCTACTTACAGTACACTGTGCTGTGTTCCAGCACCTGGATGAGACCTTCCCGTCTCGCTCCCAGAATCAAAATCGAGTTGGGTTGAGCACTGCTCAGCCATTCACTGCAAGATTATATTCTATCAATGAATACAAAGCCTCCTCTGAGTGGCTGAGCAGCACTCAGTCCAATTCAGATTTGTTCCAGGAATGGAAGAGGAAGTTTCTCTCCTGCTTCTGGAACATGCCATTTAGCTGAGGCTACATACAGTTTGTACATACAGTTTATAAAAAATGTACACAGCGGGCTCATCTAGTAGTGAAGGTAATAGTTCATTTGGACCAGTTTTGCCCAAACAAACTTTTTAAACTTCGCTAAAAGCTGGAGATCAGCTTTACGTTTATACATACATAAGGATTCCTAGAGCAGATGACAAAGGAGATATAAGAAAACACACTGCTGCTAAGGGAGTTTTACTAACATCTAGCTAGAAATATCTTCGTATAAAGAATCCATACCAGCAGAGCACAGATGTTTACCATCTTGTTACACAAAGAAAAAATATGTATTCTAGCATTCAAAAGTACAGTCATTACAATTCACAAAACAGGCATAAATGGTAAATGTACACTAGAGTCCATTTATGTTTAATATAATGCAAGTGGATTAGAGTTACAGTGGGGCAAAAAAGTATTTAGTCAGCCACCAATTGTGCAAGTTCTCCCACTTAAAAAGATGGAGAGGCCTGTAATTGGCATCATAGGTAGACCTCAACTATGAGAGACAAAATGAGAAAAAAAATCCAGACAATCACATTGGCCGATTTGGAAAGAATTTATTTGCAAATTATGGTGGAAAATAAGTATTTGGTCAATATCAAAAAATTCATCTCAATACTTTGTTATATATCCTTTGTTGGCAATGACAGAGGTCAAACGTTTCCTGTAAGTCTTCACAAGGTTGGCACACGCTGTTGCTGGTATGTTGGCCCATTCCTCCATGCAGATCTCCTCTAGAGCAGTGATGTTTTGGGGCTGTCGCTGGGCAACATGAACTTTCAACTCCCTCCAAAGGTTTTCAATGGGGTTGAGATCTGGAGACTGGCTAGGACACTCCAGGACCTTGAAATGCTTCTTACGAAGCCACTCCTTCATTGCCCGGGCGGTATGTTTGGGATCATTGTTATGTTGGAAGACCCAGCCACATTTCACCTTCAATTCCCTTGCTGATGGAAGATTTTGCACTCAAAATCTCACAATACATGGCCCCATTCATTCTGTCCTGTACATGGATCAGTCGTCCTGGTCCCTTTGCAGAGAAACAGCCCCAAAGCATGATGTTGCAACCCCCATGCTTCACAGTAGGTATGGTGTTCTTTGGATGCAACTCAGCATTCTCTCTCCTCCAAAAACGATGAGTTGTGTTTCTACCAAACAGTTCTATTTTGGTTTCATCTGACCATATGACATTCTCCCAATCCTCTTCTGGATCATCCATATACTCTCTAGCAAACTTCAGACGGGCCCGTACATGTACTGGCTTAAGCAGGGGGACACGTCTGGCACTGCAGGATCTGAGTCCCTGGCGGCGTAGTGTTTTACTGATGGTAAAGCCTTTGTTACGTTGGTCCCAGCTCTCTGCAGGTCATTCACTAGGTTCCCCCGTGTGGTCCTGGGATTTTTGCTCACCGTTCTTGTGATCATTTTGACCCCACGGGGTGAGATCTTGCGTGGAGCCCCAGATCGAGGGAGATTATCAGTGGTCTTGTATGTCTTCCATTTTCTAATTATTGCTCCCACAGTTGATTTGTTCACCCCAAGCTGCTTGCCTATTGCAGATTCAGTCTTCCCAGCCTGGTGCAGGTCTACAAATTTGTTTCTGGTGTCCTTCGACAGCTCTTTGGTCTTCACCATAGTGGAGTTTGGAGTGTGACTGTTTGAGGTTGTGGACAGGTATCTTTTATACTGATAACAAGTTTAAACAGCTGCCATTGATACAGGTAATGAGTGCAGGACAGAGTAGCCAATTATAGAAGAAGGTACAGGTCTGTGAGAGCCAGAAATCTTGCTTGTTTGTAGGTGACCAAATACTTATTTTCCACCATAATTTGCAAATAAATTATTTTCAAATCAGCCAATGTGATTGTCTAGATTTTTTTTTCATTTTGTCTCTCATAGTTGAGGTCTACCTATGATGCCAATTACAGGCCTCTTTCATCTTTTTAAGTGGGAGAACTTGCACAATTGGTGGCTGACTAAATACTTTTTTGCCCCACTGTACATATCTTAAACCACAGATAATCTGTGATGAAACTCCAGGATAGCTGCTACACTTAAGCATAAAAAAAATCGATAAAACATTTGCCATGTCCTCATGAACCATGTGTTTTTCTCAATTTATTCTTTATTAAGCACAGAGACTCCTGTAGGTATATGTCTGGAATGGAAGAGCAATATTTGAAATGATTTCTTTTTAATTCTGTATGAAACACTCAGTGAACATCAGGATTTATCAAGCATGCTGAGACACAATTAAGCTGTACTGTAATGCTTTTAGTGTATAAGGGAGATTATGTTTCCAAATGTTTGACAGATGCTCAGCCACATATCTCTTATCGTGTGCCTAGTCAAGAATACACTATGGCCATTCAGAGGACATCGTGGCATGCCAATTACCTGCACAAATGTCAAGGCTGCCTTCTGAAGGAGGCATTCTGCATAGCAGATCTCAGCATGCATTTCCTCTGAAAAACAAATTGATTGACAGAGTCAGAAAATTGGAAGGATTGAAGCTCTGACATCTGCTATATTATTACACAGTTGTTTTAAACACTTTTGGTGCTGCGCGACAGCCCAAGGTTCATGTAATGGCTAGCAACTTCAAGATATCCCTATAGTCAAAAGAAAGCTAAAAGTAAGTTCACGTTCAGCAAGATTTTCCCAAATTACCCCAATGCAATTCCATATCCTGTGAATAATTCATACCAGTGTTCTCCTTTTTCCTCCCTCCCTTCTGTTCCTGTATTATTCTTCATTCCTTGCTAAAAAAAAAAAAAAAAAAAAAAAAAAAACAGAGGACTCAACGAGTATGGTAGAAATATAGGGGGGTGCCCAGCGGGCAAAAGATTTGCCAGTGTCAAATCTCCGGAAGGTACCAACCTATAACCCAGGGTCTATGAATATGAAACCAGTGCCCTGTACGGTACAATTAAGATAAAGCTTTTAGATTTAGCTTCACTTTAATTTGTAAATGGTGCCTCAACAGAAGACACATTTTTTTATTCAACAACTAAATCAACCTTGGTGGACAAAATAACAGCACACGCACAAAACAGAGCAGTGTTTGAGTCCCTTCTACACTGGTTTATGAAAACATAAAATTACTTTAGATTTACCAATTTTATCCACATTTTTAAAACAGTTTTTACAACTTTATAGTGTTAATTCTCAAAAATCCCAATATCTTAGACATCTTTTACCAACCCACCCAATCAGATATGCTAGTACGGCTTAACAAAGTCCAATGTCTTCTTGTTACATTTGCCAGATCCCCAATAAATATGCTTCTGGTCACACCAGACAGTGATACAGTTCTCCTTTACATATCAAGCCAACCACTGTAAACCTAGTTGCTCCTTATATGGAAGTACTTTGGTTGGATTAGTAAAGCTTTATTAGATTATTATTATATAGGATTTATATATCAAAAGTTTGCTCAGCACTTTACAATATAAAGGGAGACAATACAGCAATGATACAGTTCAATAAAAGAGGGATAGGAGGACCCATCTCCTTGGAGCTTACAATCGAAGAAGAAGGGACTGGTAGTACAAAAGGTAATAACTGTGGAGGATGAACTGATAGGAGAAATAGAAGATTTGGTTATTAGCTGAAGGCAGGATTGGCTTCCCTGAAGAGATAGGTTTTCAGAGATTGCCTAAAAGTGGCCAGAGTAGGCAATAGTTGGATAGATTGGGGTAGAGAGTTCAAGAGAATGGGAGAGGGCTCTGGAGAAGTCCTGGAGACAAGAAAAGGGAGCTAGAGAGCAGGAGGTCATGGAGGAGCAGAGAGGACAGTTTTGGTGATACTTGGAGACAAGATTGGTGATGTAATGTGGGGCAGAGTTATACATTACTTTATATGTTATTGTTTTGAATTTAATCGTAGGACAATGGGAAGGCAGTGGAGGGATTGGCAGAGATGATTGGTAGATATGGAATGGTTGGTAAGGTGGATGAGTCTGGCAGCAGCATTCATGAAAGACTGAAGTGGGGCTAGCCTGTGATTAGGTAGGCCAATGAGGAGGGAGTTACAATAGTCAAGGCGAGTGATAACAACGGAGTGAATAAGTTGCTTAGTGGTTTCAGTGGTTACAAATCCTGGAGATGTTGCAGAGGTGAAGTCTACAAGATTTGGACAGTGACTGGATTTGGGACTGAAAGGACAGATGGGGGTCCAGGATTACACTAGTACCCTGGGCATAAGGGGGAAGGGGGGGGGGGTGATGTTTGTATTATTGATCTTGATGGAGAAGTCAGGGGAGGGGGCATGGGCTTGAAGGAATAGTATGAGCTCCGTTTTAGCAAGATTTATTTTGAGGCAGTGGAGTGACATCCATGCCGATATGTCACTTAGTAGGTTAGTAATGCATGAGGAGACTGAAGGGGTGAGGTGAGGAGCAGAAAGATAGATTTTTTGTCAGCAGCATAGAGATGGTACTTGAAGCCATGGAGTTTATGACCAAGGGAAGAGGTGTAAATGGAGAAGAGAAGGAGTCCAAGAACAGAACCTTGAGGGACCCCTACAGAAAGAGGAAGTGGAGAGGAGAAGACAGAGTTATAGGTAACACTAAAGGAGCACTGCGATAGGTACGAGGAGAACCAGAAGAGAATAGGGTCTCGGAGGCCAGGGGACAGTGGAGCTTTTTGAGGAGGAGGGGATGGTCAGCAGTATCAAAAGCCACAGAAAGGTCAAGTTGTAAGAGTACAGAGTAGTAGCCATTGGTTTTATCAGTTAGTAAATCATTAGTGAGTTTTAGTAGGGCAGTTTCAGTGGAGTGTAGCAAGTGAAAAGTCAGACTGTAAAGGGTCAAAAAGAGTTGTTGTCAGTGAGGGTAGGAGCTCAGGCGATTATAGACTAAGAATTCTAAGAGCTTAGAGGTAAACGGGAGCAGGGAGATTGGTCTTAAGTTGTTCAGGTTGTGGGGTCCAGTGAGGGATTTTTAAGTATAGGAGTGATCTGTGCAAAGGATAGAAGAAGATGGTGACCATAAATAGTTGTGAGGGAACAGGATCCAGGGAGCAGGTGGTGAGATGGGCTTCTAAGAAAACTTTAGTAGGAGCAAGGTCAAAAGAGGAAGGTATTGAGGAAGGTTTAGACTAAGGTATGCTAAGTGGGAGAGAGGTCTGTGTAGTGGAGCTGCCCCTATGAATAGCATCAAACCTGTTTTTGAAATTATTGGCAATCCTGTAAGTAGTGAGTGAGTTACTGGGTGGAAGTGGAGGTGCAGAAAGTAGAGAGTTAAATGTAGAGAAGAGATGATGAGGACTAGATGAAAAAAGTATTCATAAGAGTGACAAAGTAGGCTTTGGCAGCATGGAGGGAGGAATTGTATTTTAAGAAAGCAGATTTATATAGGGTAAATGCTGGCTGGGATTTGGTTTTACACCACAGTCGCTCCAGTGCACGACTATATCTCTCAAGTCTCTTTTTTTGGTGTCGTCAGTCTGCCAAGGTTGTAATGGTCAGGGCCTGATACTTTGTGTAGTTAGAGGAGAAAGTGAGTCTAGTGTGGATGAAAGTGAACTGTTGTAGACAGAAGTGGCCAGGTCAGAGCAGGACGGGGAGAGATTCTGTCATAGAGGTGGTCAGTTGCAGAGTAGAATAGAATAGAGAAGGGTTAAAGTTGCAAAGGTTTCTGAAGGCAATTGTTTGCTGCTTGGAAGGATAGGTGTTTGAAGACTTGCACACTGTGAAGGTGATGATATTGTTATCAGAGAGGAAATGGGGTGTTTGTGAAATTGTAGGGAGTGCAAAATGTGAGAGAAAACAAGGTCTAATGTATTCCCATCAGAGTGAGTGGAGGACTGTGTCCATTGTATTAAGGCAAAATAAGAGGTTAGGTTGAAGAGTTGGGATGTAGCTGGGTTGTTCACATTAATGGGGATGTTAAAATTCCCAAGAATGTTAGTGGTTATTTCAGAGAAGAGAAAGTAGGGTAGCCAGGCAGAGAAGTCATCAAGAAAATGCGACACCAATCCAGGACGATAGATCACTGCAATCCTCACAGAAATGGGAGAAAACATCTGAATGCAGGATTGGCTTCCCTGAAGAAATAGGCTTTCAAAGATTGCCTAAAAGTGGTCAGAATCTCCAAAGAAGAAAAGGATAGAGAGGGAGGGGTAGGGAGGACTTAACAGGTGCTCAGTGGGGATAGAAGCAAACCAACTCCACCTCCTTTCCGACCACTGGGTCTGGGTGAGTGAGTCCAGTGGAGAACTCCATAGGAAAGTGCTGCAAGAGAAGAAGAATCTGATGCTTGAAGCCAGGTTTCTGTAATTGCTAGTAGGTTAAGGGAGTGGGAGACAAAGGTCATGGACAGAGGTAAGCTTATTACAGACAGAGAGGGCATTCCAGAGTGCACATGAAAAAGAGGGTGGTTTTTAGGAGCATGGGGACTGAGATTAAATGTAGTGGATTGCAGATATTTCTTGGGGAAGGAGGGTGCTGGGGGGGGGGGGGGGGAAAGGGGAGATACTGGAGGACCAGGGTTCAGGAAGATATCCCCAGAAGTTAGGAGGAGGATGAGGTAAGTAAGGAGGGAGCGGGATGTATATGAGTGCACATGCCTTCCTGTCCTAATTTTTAGGTCAGCAGGTGAGTTAAGTATCAGCAGGAGGTGATGAGAGCAGTAGTAGAGAGATGGCAGAGGTGAGGGCGATATGTATAAGCTTTGGGGTGGAGCAGAGGGGTAAAGAAATTAGATTTTGAGAACAGAGGATAATAATATGAAAAGGAGAGTAGAGGGGGCATAATAAAAAGGTAGATGGAGTGGGAATCACACTTGTAGGAGATGTCTCCCAGGGTGTTTTGCTTGCAGTCCATCCAGCGTGCAGTAGAGCTGCAGCATGCTGCTTTAGTTAAACTACTGTTTTCAACTGCTGTTTTGCACTCTAGCAGAAAATGCACTCACGCAGGACAATGCCCTGTCTGTGATCTCCCCCATAATATGGGTTTATGGCATGATAAGTATGGTAATTCAGACTGGTTATTCCTTTTTCAGACCTTTTTTATCTACCACTTTCTCTTTTTTAATAATTTTTTTCTACTGTTAATGTACAGAACCAATGAAGGGTGAATGGCAAAGAAATGGAGAGGAACAGGATTCACTGATCCCCATCTGGAATAAGAACTCATAGGGAAAAAAGGCATCATCACAGGGCCGCAATGGGTGAAAATACCACATTTTTAACATTTTAAAATAAGAAAAAGTAGAGGAGAGATACACAATGAAAAATATTAAACGGAAGTACATATTTCCACAACACAGACACATACAGTAGGGTCATGCACTTGATGTACATCCTCCCATTTACATTAAATGAATACCGTAATTTATGCAGCATTTATTTAGCTCAGGACTAAAACTCACATGTTTGCCTGGGATTTCGAAGTGTTAATTAAGTTTTGGTGATTACAGAACTAGTACCTCAAGCCCATATGTATAATGGAAAAAACTAGTGTGACTGTACCCACACATGCTGTGTAATTCATTTGGCTATACAGGCATGATTCATTCCCCTTCCTCAGTATATAAATTACTTTAGACTTTAATTTTGATTTTTGTTTTTAATCTTCCACCATTTCATCATTACCTTCAGAAAGTTGCTCTCCGGTTTGTTTGGACACTAAATTAGATAAAGATTCTACCACAGAATTTCTTTTTCTGAATCTACAGAGAAAAATACAAATATGTTAGAATTGTGAATACCAAACCAAGACTGTGATCATTTAAAATGCAACGTGTACTAATTGGTGTAAAGTATAGCAGCATTTTATAACTAGCCTACAGTCCTCTGATCAATTGACAATGTGCGTGTTACATATACACTATTTTGCCAAAAGTATTTGGACGCCTTCCTTTACATGCAAATGAACTTTAATGGCATCCCAATTTTTGCCCATAGGGTTCAATTTGAGTTGGCCCACACTTTGCAGCTATACCAGCTTTAACTGTCCTGGGAAGGCTTGCCCACAAGATTTAGGAGTGTGTCTATGGGAATGTTTGACCATTCTTCCAGAAGCGCATTTATGAGATCAGGCATGGATGTCGGACGAGAAGGCCTGGCTCGCAATCTCAGCTCTAATTCACCCCTGTTCTGTCAGGTTGAGGTCAGCACTCTGTGCAAGCCAGTCAAGTTCTTCCACTCCAAACTCACTCATCCATGGACCTTGCTTTGTGCACTGGTGCGCAATCACGAACAGGAAGATGCCATTCACAAAGTTGGGAGCATGAAATTGTCCAAAATGTCTTTGGTATGCTGACGCCTTAAGAGCTTCCTTCACTGGAACTAAGGCACCAAACCCAACTCCTGAAAAACCACCCCACACTATAATCTCCCCTCCACCAAACTTTATATGGCACAATGCAGTCTGGCAAGTACTGTTCTCCTGGCAACTGCCAGAAATCTCCATCAGATTGCCAGACAGAATAGCGTGATTCGTGACTCCAGAGAACATGTCTCCACTGCTCTAGATTTTAGTGGTGGCGTGCTTTACACCACTGCATCCAAACTGGATGCAGTGGTTCGGCTATGGAGTCCCATTCCATGAAGCGCTATATGCACTCTTATGCTAATCTAAAGGCCATATGAACTTTTGATTCTTTAGCTATTGACTGTGCAGACAGATGGTGACTTCTACACACTGTGTGCTTCTGCATGCACTGACCCCACTCTGTCATTTTATGTAGTCTACCACTTCGTGGCTGAGTTGCTGTTCCCAGCTGCTTTCACTTTGTTATAATACCACTAACAGTTGACTGTGGAATATTCAGCAGCAGCAAAATTTCACGGATGGACTTTTGCACAGGTGGCAACCTATAATGCTACCACACTTGAATTCACAAATGTTTGTAGAACCAGTCTGCATGTCTAGGTGCTTGATTTTATACACTTGTGGCCATGGAGGTGATTGGAACACCTGAAACTAATGATTTGGAGGGTTGTCCCAAAACACTTGGCAAAATAGTGTATATATATACATACATACATATATACATATATATACATATACATACATACATACACATACATATATATACATATACATACATACACACACACACAGTTGTGTTCAAATTAATTAATAGTGTGTTGAAAAAAGTGAATAAAGCTCAAAATCCTTCTAGTAGCTTTTATTCGCATACAAACAAATGCATTGGGAACACTACATATTCTATTCCCAATCAAAACATGAAGAAAAATATATCAAATTTGTGTTGTTCCTCTAAAAAAAAAAATTAAAGAAAAGTGAATATTAGACTGTTCAAAAAAATAGCAGTGTTTGTATTCTTCTTTACAAACTCAAACATTCACTATATAAACTGAAAAATGTTTGAAGATTTTGCTTTCCTTTGAATCACTTAATGAATATTTAGTTGTATAAGCACTGTTTCTGAGAACTGCTGTACATCTGTGTTGCATGGAGTCAACCAACTTCTGGCACCTGTGAACAGGTATTCCAGCCCAGGATGATTGGACTACATTCCACAGTTCTTCTCTATTTCTTGGTTTTGCCTCAGAAACTGCATTTTTGATGTCACCCCACAAGTGTTTTTCTATTGGATTAAGATCCGGGGATTGGGCTGGCCACTCCATAACATCAATCTTGTTGGTCTGGAACCAAGATGTTGCATGTTTACTGGTGTATTTGGGGTCGTTGTCTTGTTGGAACACCCATTTCAAGGGCATTTCCTCTTCAGCATAAGGCAGCATGACCTCTTCAAGTATTCTGATGTATTCAAACTGATCCATGATCCCTGGTATGTGATAAATAGGCCCAACACCGTAGTATGAGAAACATTTTAAAGCATTTGCGATCATTTTAGCTGAGCAGCCTATCATTTTCTGCACTTTATATGCTTTCCCCTCTCCAATCAACTTTCTAATCAAGGTACGCTGTTCTTCTGAACAATGTCTGAAACGACCCATTTTAGTCAGAATTTCAGAAAGAATTGCACTGTAACCAGCATGTACAACATTTGCTGCCTTCCTTCCTTAAATAAGGGCATAATTGACACCTGTTTTTCAAAGAATGAATGACCTCACTAATAGAACTCCACACTGCTATTATTTTGAACATGCCCCTTTCAGTTAGTGATTCAATTACACAGAATCAGCAGCATGTATGTCATGACTGTTGGGTCTATTGGATTTCTATTACTCTACTTCACCTGCTAGTAAATTATTTGCCATGTAGAAATATCATTTCTACCAAAAACAGTGATTGATCAGGTTAGTGATGTCTGACTGCTATTATTTTGAACACAACTGTAGATTGTACACATATACATACACACACACACACACCATAGTTTGTAGACGTTATAAAACTTTCACGTAAACCAAATTAATATACATGTATTGGGATTTTTTTTTTTTTACCAAAGACATGTAGCAGAATACATTTTGGACTAAAGTTATGACTAACTTTGAGTTTATTGGATATTTTTTATAACCAAAAGTGAAAAATATTGGGTGTTTTTTCCAAAATGTTTGGTCTTTTTTTGTTTTATAGCGCAAAAAGTAAAAGCCGCAGAGGTGATCAAATACCACCAAAAGAAAGCTTTGTGTGAAAAAAGGACACAAAATTTTGTTTGGGTGCAGCGTTGCACGACAGCGCAATTACCAGTTGAAATAGTGCAGTGCCAAACAGAAAAAAATGACCTGGTCATGGAAGGGGGTAAAACTTCCAGAGGGCAAGTGGTAAACAACACACAGGTGGACTATTTACTCATTAGGTGACCTCTAAAGACAATTGGTTCCACTAGATTTTAGTTAGGAGTATCAGAGTAAAGGGGGCTGACTACAAATGCTCACCACATTTTTCAGATATTTGTAAAATATTTTGAAAACCATTTATCATTTTCCTTCTACTTCACAATTATGTGTCATTTTGTGTGTGTTGGTCTATCACATAAAATCCCAATAAAATACATATATTTATTACACACAAACACATACATACACACATACCATATAGAGGCAGATATACTAAAACTGATGCACAAAGAATCTGGTGCAGTGGTGCATGGTGGCCAATCAGCTTTTAACTTCAACTTGTTCAATTAAGCTTTGACAATAAAACCTAGAAGCTGTTTGGTTAATATGCAGAGCTGTACCAGATTCTGTGTGCACCAGTTTTAGTAAATCTCCCCCACAGAGTCAGAGTAAGAGCTAAAAAAAGCAAGATCTGGTAAAGTCTTTCCTTGTAATGGGAAAGCTGCCAATTCCTAGCACTCCATATCCACAAAAATTGTTTCTGTTCCCACAACCTACACTACTCTATGCAAAGCAGCAAATGTTTAAAAATAGCATTTGACAGAAAGCATGCACTGAGTCATGTAATCAGAGTTTTTCCTAGCTAAGACACAGAAGCAAAAAAAAAAAAAAAAAAAAGAAAAAAAAAAACTTCTATAGATGTTTAGTGACAAATGTAACCAGAGCTGTAATAGAGTTGTGTTATTTAGATAGTGTAAATATAAATCCTGCTTTTCTGGGCTCTTCTGTATCACGTATAAAAGCCTACAGAAAACCCCAACAAGGGCTAAAATTAAACTATCTATTGCTTACAAGAGGGCTAAAAGAAGGTAAAACTCCTTGTGGTAAGAAACAGCTAGGGATTTGATTCAAATTGAGAAAACCTAAGTGTTCTATGGAGGCCCCATCTGACTCCTAACTCCTACACCATTCACTAACATTAAGTAAAAAGGTATACCTCTGACAGGTCTGTAAAGCCTCCTTCATCGTACCAATTCCCATTTGAATATCCTGTGGTTCAAATGTCATCGCTGCCTGCATAACCAAGATAGTGCTGTATCCAAGAGCATGATATATGCTGTCTTTAGCCCTGTGATGTAAAAGATTGTGGTGATTAAAACAATAGGCATGATTTTTGACAAATATTGTAAAGATGTGTGGGAGAATGTGTATGTTGGACAGTCCTTTTAGCAATGACATGTAGGACAATTTTTTTTGTAACGATGTCCAATGTTATGTTCCAGAGGACAATGAGAAGTCCTCCGATGTTTCAATAAAACTATTATGTAACTAAAACAATAGACATAACATACACACCATCATAATTTAGAATACCACTCTGTTTCAAACAGACAACTACTCAACTGTCAAGAGGAGGTTTCAGTGTAGATGTTTCAAGCTTTTGGCCCTTAAGACAACTCAAAGAGTGTATGAGTGAGCGTTTGTGTGTGTGTGTGTGTGTTGAGTGTGTGTGTGTGTGAGTGTGAGTGTGTGTGTGTGTTGAGTGTGTGTGTGTGTTGAGTGTGTGTGTGTGTTGAGTGTGTGTGTGTGTGTGTTGAGTGTGTGTGTGTGTGTGTTGAGTGTGTGTGTGTGTTTGAGTGTGTGTGTGTGTGTTGAGTGTGTGTGTGTGTTGAGTGTGTGTGTGTGTTGAGTGTGTGTGTGTGTTGAGTGTGTGTGTGTGTGTTGAGTGTGTGTGTGTGTGTTGAGTGTGTGTGTGTGTGTGTTTGAGTGTGTGTGTGTGTGTGTGTGTGTGTGTGTTGAGTGTGTGTCTCCCCTGTGCCTGCGTGGGTTTCCTCCCACACTCCAAAGACATGCTGGTAGGTTAATTGGATCCTGTCTAAATTGGCCCTAGTATGTATGAATGTAAGTTAGGTACCTTAAATTGTAAGCCCCTTCTGTACGCCCCGCTGAATTCTATTATGGACTACTTTGCTTAAGTGTGGGAACACTTGTCAGAGTACCAGCCACAAGAAGCTGAGTTGCCAGTGAAGCGTGGTTATTGTATATTCATATATCCATACAGCTAAATGGTTAGCACTTCCGCCTGGCAGCACTAGGGTCGTTGGTTCGAATCCCAACTAAAGCACCACCTGCCTGGAGTTTACATGTTCTCCCTCTGTCTGCGTGGGTTTCCTCCGGGTACTCCGGTTTCCTCCCACACTCCAAAGACATGCTGTTAGGTTAATTGGATCCTGTTTAAATTTGGCCCTAGTATATGTATGAATGTGAGTTAGGGACCTTAGAATGTACGCCCCTTTAGGGTTAGGGACTGATGTGAATGTACAATATATATGTAAAGCGCTGCGTAAATTGACGGCGCTATACAAGTACCTGAAATAAATAAATAATACACACACACAGATCTTTCCTTAAGTGCTTGTCTCCTGAGTAGTTGCCCCATATCATCCATTGGATAGCTATAACCTCGACACTCCACAAAGCTGGCCCTTAAAGTCTAACTGAACTAAAGCCAATATAGGGCAGAAGCTTTAACATAGTTCCAAATGTTGCATGCATTTTCATGGGCTTGCCTTATATTTAACGTGTGTTGCGATGTATGAGGCACACAGAAAACTATTGCCCTTCAAGTGACCTGCATTTATCCAGTGCAAAAAAAAAAAAAAATGCTGGTCACTGGTGTGAACAAGCTATTGGCTTGACTGCTCTCCAACATTGGCCAGTAATTTGAAAAACCGAAGGCTGCACAAAACAATTGCTGATCTTTGTGTGACAGCAGTGTTTTCTGTACAGTGGTTCCATGTCACCATGGCTTGTCAGCACTACAGTGCACTGGTCAAGAAAAGCCTGCTAAAAAGAGCAAGCATGACCAATTGCACTGTGCACTGCAATGCTGACAATGCCGGACTGCTGTATGGAAAGCACTGTTCTCACACAGAGCTGCAATCCTCTGTGCAGCCTGATCTATGAATTACCAACTGTTCCTGGGCAGCAAATAAAGCACTCTAAGCAATAACACTTGCCAATTTAAGCTTTTGGAACTATGTTGACAGCTTCTGCCCTACCTTTGGCTCAGGTTCATTTGGGCTTAGGGCCAGTCTTGTGGATCATCTAGGTTCTAGATGTCAAATTAATGATTTTCCCTATCTCAGCTTGGCACCCCAACTATGATCATATTATTACCAGCCTGTAAACCAAGGGTAGGCAACCTTTTAGAGGTGGAGATCTACCTGAACAACATGGAAGAGATCAAAGATCACAAGGTTCGGCACCACTTTTTTTTTTGTAAGAAATTAACTAGGAAGGCCCCAATAAAAAGTAAAAGTGGCATGACCAAAACTTGTATAAATATAAGAAAACAAACATCACTGTAAAAATACAAACTTAGCCTACCTTAAAAGGGCTTGTCAGTGCAAGTTGTATGCAGGACAGTGTCCAGGGGTCAGTAGAAGGCAGGGCAGTGTACAGAGGTCAGTAGGATGCAGGACAGTGTAAAGGAGTCAGTAGTCAGTAGTAAGTAGGGCAGTGTCCAAGGGTTAGAAGGATAATCATGCAGAGCAGTGTAAAGGGGTCAGCTTTATGTAGGGTAGTGTACAAAGGTCAGTAGTAGGTAGGGCAGTGTCCAGGGGTCAGTAGTATGTAGATTAGTGTACAGGGTTCAGATGTATGTAGGGCAGCGTACAGAAGTCAGTAATAGTATTTAGGGTAGTGTACAGCAGGACAGTGTACAGTGGTCAGCAGGGCAGTGGCTTGCGGTCAGCAGGGCAGTGGCTTGCGGTCAGCAGGGCAGAGGATGGCATTTAGCAGGGCACATGGTGGGGTCAGTAGGGCAGAGGACTGGGACAACAGTGTGTAGCTCAAAAGGAAAGGAGTAAGTAATGGAGAGAACAGGGATCAGGAGTAAGTTATGCAGAGTACGTAGTAAGCAATGTAGAGTTCAGAGGTCAAAAGGATGTAAAACAACGTTCAGAGGTTAAATAGTATCACGGAGTGCAGGGTCAGTTCAATGCAAGCAGAAGTCAGTGGTATGTCACAAGCAACAGCCCTTGCTATTAGCCATTTCCTCCTCACAGGTGGCTGCCACTATAATGCTAAATAAATGTTGATATCTGGCAGGTTCACACATCTGCATTGTAGGAAGCAGTTTAATTTAACACTGTCAGCTCATCACCAAGGACCAGTTATTACAGCCTTCTGCCTCCTAGCGAAGACCACCTGCTGTATTTTCACAAATATCTAGCCTTCAATTACCAGCTCGTTTTCCAGGATGTGTCCCATCAGACTCTGTTGAGGCTGCGATAACAGATACAGCTCTGTGCCAGATGGGCAGGACAACCATGGCTCACCAGTTGGAGCTGTGTCTCATTCCCGTCCAGTCCCGCTCTTTACTTAGTACTTCCTGTGTCTCTGCTTCACATGTTGCAGATAGCCGACAGGTGCAGTCAGGAGGTTGTGGCATGTCAGAATTGCGATCTACCTGTCAGATGGTTGTGATCGACAGGTAGATCACGATCAACGGGCTGCCAACCCCCGCAGTATAAACCCTTCAACAATAGGTAGGTTTTTCCTAAACTGGTACCTAAAAAAATGTGGACTCTGGAGGTGTTAAATATATGAAAATTAGATGAGCAAACAGATATCCAACATGTATATCCAAGGCTCCTCTTCCCTTCCCTAACATGCACCTATGCACTTTTCATTAAAAAAATTAAAGCCTTTGGAATAGTAAATAGATTAGAATTTCTCAGGTTTTAAAAAGACCTTGTTGCCAGACCATTCATTTAACCAAAAATCTTCCCATAAGATTATTTAAGTATTCACTGTATTTTGATCATGTAAATTATCTGTAAAATCTTCCTTGCATTAACATCCAATTATGATGGTCCTAAACCTCAGCAGAGCTGTCACTCAAGTGAAATTCTTTAGCGGGGATCAGCAATCAGGTCTGATCGAGATCCACCTGGTGAGCGCAGTCATGCGACATCCTGACCTCTCCCACAACGCCTCTCCGACCACAAGCAGTATACTGTGAGAAACCTTGAACAGACATTGCAATTCCATTACTTCTGACCTGTATACTAGTTCTGGGACAGCAAAGCTAAATAAAGTTCAATTTTACTGTCTTGGATCTAGCATACAGCCTTCGAATCAAAGAATGGCAGCTTGCTTCCAACTCTGCATTATCACACTGGCATTTTTCCTTTGTGACAGGTCTTTATAAGCACAAAAAACTAGGGCTAGTAAGGTTGCAGTATATGTATCCCCCCCCCCCCCAACACTATGGAGAATAAAAGAATTGTCATACCAAGGGCGTAATAATTCCAGAGCTTCTGAAAATTTGTTGTTTAGAAATAAGTTCAGAGCTAATGTGCACTCTTCTAGTGCACATCGAAGGTCCATCTTGGAAGCCCTAAAGAGAATGAAGAAACAATTGAGTAGGCAACTCAGTGAAGCACAGTTTAACAAATTCAGCAACAATAATTGAAACAACTCAACTGGTTCAGTCAAAGATACATGGCAATCTTTCTGGTGCTATAAATAGTACAGAAGAGCAAAAAATAACTTGTGTGTTTACACACTACAGCCTCAGAGCAAAAAGAACCCCTTCTCATGGAATAATTGTGACATGTAAATCACAGAAATGTGAATACCAAAAAGAAATACATACAGAAACAGTAAGTAAGGCAGGTAACATTTGCATGTGCTAATGGTTAGGGTATGAGCTGTTAAATGGGCAATCAGAAGTATGGGGTACAGCTGAAAATATTCTTTGATTTGTGTTGAGCAGAATGTGACAGAAGACCTCTTGGGCTAGGTTCACACCTTTGCGAAACCACTTTTTATTTTTTAATGCGCATTGTTAAGTATTTTGCACATGTGCTGTCAAACATTTTTAAGGAATTTCCATGCTTTTCATGTTGGCCAATAACAATTTTTTTCCAGGGGCTGGAAACACATGCAAAATGCATCAAGCATCTTATGATCCCCAAAACACAGGAAAGCAGACAAAATCCAAAAAACAGACCCGAGCTACTTTAAAAAAACATGCTGCAGTGCAGCGCAGAGATGTAAACATGCTCTATCTATAACGGTGCCTTTGATGACACATGCGTGCTCAAATGTAAATGTGTGAACAGGGCCAAGAAGAATATGTAAATCCAATATTCCATATTCCTGATATGTGCCTGTTGTACCATGTACTTGTATGAAAAAGTATCCTGTTCTCTTTGTATTGTTTCTTTTGTTTGAAAACTCTGGTGTCCCTGCCAGTCCCTCTGTTTCCCTATTAAAAGCTGACCACACTAAGCAGTAGAACACACTGTTGTCAGTTCTCTAGCTGTGCTGGGAACTTGCCCTACTCTCCTTCAATGATCTGACTTCTGCTGACCCCCCTCCCCCCCCCCAGACGTTCACTGGAAAGATCAATGTATTGTGGGTTTCTCCTCTCCTAACACTTATACAGCTAAGAACAATAGGGAATATTTGCACTTCTCTCTCTCTTTTTTTTTTTTTTTTTTTTAAGGAGGAGGAAAAAAAGAAAAGTATTTATAATTTTTTTTATAGCTATACATAAAATGTGTGAACTGAATGGGTTGTTTTACAACGTGAGGGTTTACAGTCCCTTTAATGTAGCTTTGTGGATTCATCCTCCCTCCAGAAGTCCATATAAATAGAGTAACTAGTTAAAGTGACATTAATACTTTTTGTGTTTTTTTTTTTCTTTAAAACACACACACACACACACACACCATACCTACTCTGAGCAGCGGTTTTGCACTGAGCAACACCGATCATCTTCTTTTCAGATCCCCGCCAAAGCTCCTGGCTCCTCCCCCTCGAGCAGTGCCCCCAGGGAAAGCCGCTCGCCTTGGGGGCATCACTGCATGCTCTTACCCTAGCGCCAAAAAGACACAGAGCAGCAGTTCGGCCATGCCCCCTGTTCTCTCCTCATTGGCTCACTGGCTGTGATTGAGAGCAGCAGGAGCCAATGGACTCCCTCTGCTGTCTCAGCCAATGAGGAAAAAAGTCCCCAGACAGCAGATGCTTTCGTGAATGTCACTGGATCGGAGGGGGCTCAGGTAAGGATTGGGGGGGCTTGCTACACACAGAAGGTTTTTTACCTTCATGCATAGAATACATGAAGGTAAAATACCTTGAGCCTTTAGAAGCACTTTAAAGTAATATTAAAAGGCTCATCCTTTTTTTTTCTTTTAAAATACCAAACATGTTAAACTTACCTGCTGTGTGCAGTGGTTTTGCACATTAACAGGCTCGATCCTCCTCTTCTCGGGTCCCCCACCAGTGTTCTTGGTTCCTCCTCCTTAGCCAGTGCCCCCACAGTAAGCTGCTTGCTTTGGGAGTGCTGGAGTATGCTTGCTCCCGAGCCGTTGCTCTATGTGTCCACAAGACACAGAGCAGTGGTTTGTCCCCGCCCCCGATCTCTCATTGGCTCACTGGTGTGATTGACAACATCAGTTGCCAATGGCTCCTACTGCTGTCTCAGCCAATGAGAAATGAGAGACCCGGGACAAAGTCTGCTCTCGTGCACATCACTGGACTGAGAGGGGGCTCGAGTATTAGGGGAGCAGGGGGGGACACTGCACACAGAAGGTTTTTTACCTTCATGCATAGAATGCATGGAGGTGTAAAAAAAAAAAAAAAAAAAACAAAAAAAAAAAAACCTTCCGCCTTTACAACCACTTTAAGATGTTTTTACCTGCTGTAAATGTGCATAATTAAAAGGATGAGAATAATAGCTGTCCATTTACCAAACAAATTTACATACTGCATATAAAACACCACATGAAAATGAAAACTAGTCAAACACTGTTTGACCCAAAGCATACAAGTAATTCAACAAAACAATGGCTGCAACAGCACAGAATACGCCTTCTGGAGTGGCCCAGTCATAGTCCTGACCTCAACCCGATTGAAATGCTGTGGCATGACCTTAAGAGAGCGATTCACACCAGACATCCCAAGAATATTGCTACACTGAAACTGTTTTGTGAAGAGGAGTGGTCCAAAATTACTCCAGATCATTGTGCAGGTCTGATCTGCAACTACAGGAAACGTTTGGTTGAGGTTATTGCTGCCAAAGGAGGGTCAACCAGTTATTAAGTCCAATGGTTCACATACTTTTTCCTCCCTGCACTGTGAATGTTTGCATGTTATGTGCAATTAAATCATGGCAACATCTAATGTTTGTGTGTAGTATTATGTTCAGCAGACTGTGTTCTTCTATTGTTGCGACTTAGATGACGTTCAGAGCACATTTTATGCCCAATTCATGCAAAACTCCACGTAATCCCAAGGGGTTCACATACTTTTTCTTGCAACTGTAGGTGCCTTTCTTCCAGCATGCATCTGTGAAACATGGACATGTGACTTAAACGCAACTAAAATGCAATTGCAATGCGTTTCTGATGAATATTGAGGAGTTTTCCCATTCATTTCAATGGAAACATTTTGGTGCGATGGAATCCACATTTTTGTGGATGAAGGACCTTTCAAAACCGCACCAAACCCACAGCGCAGTAGTGTGAAGAGTCTCAAAAGATTTAAAGGGAAATGTTTTTATAGCAGCAAAAATACATCAGTATGAAAGCAGCCCAAATGATGAAGCCCTTTGGTACAAACTTCATCTGGTTTGTGATGTGATTTATCAACAACTGCTAGAATGTGATCTAGGAGCAAGCATATCAACAGTAAAAAAACATTAAAAAAAAAAAAATAGTTCATATTTACCCTCTGCGCTCCCTTTGCCACATTCTTATTGAATTTTGCAACAATTGTCCAGAGGATGCAAGAACATGGAAACTAACAAAAGTTACTACCATTTGTACAATATGATTGGTACAGATCCTCCAACGGTGGGCTTCAGCCTGGCATTATGCTAAACACAACCCTGCCCATAGTAACAGCTTGACACCATAGTATATTGTAAAAAAAAAAAAAAAAAAAACAACAAACTAATATTCAATATCAGGAAATACATTCAGCAAAATCACTTTGACTATATAAAGCAAAGATGTGCCATCACTTACTATAGTTGAAGGTTGTGTTAGCATAGAGGCTTACAATAGATTGAGGGCTTCTAGCTGCCAATATGCGGTCCCACTAGCAACTTGATTAAACAAATCAACATTCAATGTCCACGTAAACACAATCATGAAAATATACGCTTTAACATGTTGAAGGCTAAGTCCACCTGTTATACAATGTTGTATTTCAACTATTTCGAGCCTACAGTGGGGATCGAAAGTTGGGCACCCCAGCTAAAAATTTGTATTAATGTGCATAAAGAAGCCAAGGAAAGATGGAAAAATCTCCAAAAGGCATCAAATTACAGATTAGACATTCTTATAATATGTCAACAAAAGTTAGATTTTATTTCCATCATTTACACTTTCAAAATAACAGAAAACAAAAAAATGGCGTCTGCAGAATTTATAGCATGCACTGCCCCCTTTGCCAAGCTGAGACCTGCCAGCATCATGGATTTTTCTCAATCATCGTCTGGGAAGACCAGGTGATGTCAATCTCAAAGGTTTTAAATGCCCAGACTCATCTGACCTTGCCCCAACAATCAGCACCATGGGTTCTTCTAAGCAGTTGTCTAGAAAACTGAAACTGAAAATAGTTGACGCTCACAAAGCTGGAGAAGGCTATAAGAAGATAGCAAAGCGTTTTCAGATGTCAATATCCTCTGTTCGGAATGTAATTAAGAAATGGCAGTCATCAGGAACAGTGGAAGTTAAAGCAAGATCTGGAAGACCAAGAAAAATATCAGACAGAACAGCTCGCAGGATTGTGAGAAAAACAATTCAAAACCCACGTTTGACTGCACGATCCCTCCAGAAAGATCTGGCAGACACTGGAGTTGTGGTACACTATTCCACTATAAAGAGATACTTGTACAAATATGGTCTTCATGGAAGAGTCATCAGAAAAAAACCTCTTCTACGTCCTCACCACAAAAATCATCGTTTGAACTTTGCAAATGAACATATAGACAAGCCTGATGCATTTTGGAAACAAGTTCTGTGGACCGATGAGGTTAAAATTGAACTTTTTGGCCGGAATGAACAAAGGTACGTTTGGAGAAGGGGCACAGAATTTAATGAAAAGAACCTCCGTCCAACTGTTAAGCATGGGGTTGGATCAATCATGCTTTGGGGTTGTGTTGCAGCCAGTGGCACAGGGAACATCTCACGAGTAGAAGGAAAAATGGATTCAATAAAATTTCAGTAAATTTTGGATGGTAACTTGATGCAATTTGTGAAAAAGCTGAAGTTAAAGAGAGGATGGCTTCTACAAATGGATAATGATCCTAAACACACCTTGAAATCCACGGGGGATTACATCAAGAGGCGGAAACTGAAGGTTTTGCCATGGCC